ACAAGGCAATCACAAAAAGAACACAATTTTGATAGCCAAACTTCAACTAATAACCATCAACCGTCAAATTGAAAATCTTTCAAATCTGTTCTTTCTTTGATGATCTTCAAAATCTGTGCCATTAATTAGAATACATATTCTATAATATAAAGTAAAAGAAAATTAAAACAGGGGGAAAAACTCTTTATTTAAGGACAATCACTTTTCTACACTGTCCATGTCCAAATGCAAGATCATAAAGGGCCTTCTTTTTTAAGTGAATGTATACTGGATTATTTTACACTCAAGTACATCAATGTACAAACAAACAACTTGTGACACCTGAATTCTCTTGTTTTCATCTGTCATATTATGATCTTTATGTACTGTATAATACATGAATCATATTTATCCAGAGCCTATATGCACTGTACTATCTACAGCACATCCAGGTGTAAAATCACAGGTCGGGTTGACACCTAGCAAAAACAGGTCGTCGAAATTCATGTAGTCTTTCAAGCGAATAAACTGTATTTCAATGTGTGAACAACAATTGAAGATGTCTCATTACCCGCCTTTGCTCGGAAGAGAGGTGAAATATATTCTCTGCCCTGCAGGTTATATACTCAAACAGTTAACCGTATTGTTGAAACTGGATTCCTCCAACTGTGAACCAAGATGACTATATAAATGTTACTTCAGTCAACTGGGATGTCACCAGTTACCTATATATCAGCATTCTATTGTGTACCAAGACAATGATGTCAATCTGACTCTGTTAGGTCAAACCTAAGGCTGATATTTAGCAAGTTCACATCAAGATATACACAATAGTAAAAGGGTTGACCATATCCAATTTTAAAGGTTTCTGTTGATGTAGTAGACTCGTAGCTAAATACCTCCTTTAATTTCACATATTTGTGACACATAAACACTTACCTTTCTCATCCACATTTAGGTATCAGTGACTTGATATTTAAATTGTCAACATATATGCCTATCAATGGGACAGATTTTCAAATGGAATTTTAGTTAGAGATTTCATGTTTCTTGCCATTCTGACCTTTGGACTTAGCATTCTGGGGGACTTGAAATGCTGACAGTAAAGGCATGTGTGCATTAAATTTAGCAACCTCTGGTGAAGACCTGAGATGTGTGGTTTGATTCTCAGCCAAGAAAGTTCGTGTTTCCAAAGAAATTGATGCGATGAGGTATCATCCCATGCTTTTATTTCTGTGTCATTACATAGCAAGTCATTTCAAATTTATCACAATTATTTTGAATCGCATGTGATGGATCTTGTTAAATAAGGTAGTCACTTTCTTCTTCATGAAGACACTGCCTCAAAATGACCCTAGCAGCTAGCTGGCTGTAAACCTACAAATCCTTGTAGTAATTTAAAAGTCTATGCCATTGACTTCTATCAAAGCTACACTTGGAAAGTTCAACATACAGATTTTCCTTTTCTATCTCATACCACGATCCTTATACTTACAACACTTTATCTTAAAACGTCCATTTGATTCCTGCAGCATTTCTTTTTATAATCTTTTTAAAATACTTTTAATAGGATTATTACACCTACTATAACTTTAAATAGCCAGCATGATCAAAATGTTCTGATACACATTGCAGTTTCCCCGCTGGTAATTTATATAATGACAATTTAATATTTTCCTGTTTGGAATGTTTAAAATACTTTATGAAAGCATTATCTTTTCAATAAAGAAAACAAGGATTGCAAATGTTCTCCGATGTATAGTTCACAACATGATGGTTTTCGAAAATTGGTCAGCATTTTTTAATTAAGCACAACAAAAGGAAAACCAGGAAATATATGCTAGGGCCTGAGATTTTTCATGTTCTGCTTTAGTCTCTTATTAACATACAGCAAGCAGGATACTTGCTTTCATAATATCATACTAATAGTGCAATATACAACTGTATCACAATATAGCACAAAACCATAATACAGTAAACACATATGATTCTATTGTACAGTTAAGACAAATAAATCCATGTTTTTCATATTTATAATATGTGCATTTTAACTTTGGACTGCAATTTCATCCCTGAAGTCAAACAGTCGACCACAAAAACTTTTTATGTACATCTTAGTTTTGATAAAAGTAGTTGTTAAATGTATTACTGGCATTCATAAATTAAGAAAAAAGTTTTGGTATATAAACAACATGTAAGTGTATTCAAAGCGCAGCTGAGTTCTGTGCAGTGGCCAGCAGACAGATGCCACAAGGAATACTACTGTCTGGCAGTAGAAGTTGAATAATAAAAACTTCAAGATGACCATAACAACATTGTACTGGTGTCAGAGGCTTTAAGAAAATCAACAAGTTTTGACACACCAGATGTGTCGTAATCTTATGTGTCTAATCTAGTCAACTCTGTATACACTACATTCAGTGTTGCTAACTCTGACTTGTGTCATAATTCAATGTGTTGAAATTAGTCAACATGCACTCTTGATTAAAGCTGATCCACAGATTTTTTCAAAAGTTTCCCAACATCAATACTTTTCATTCTTGAACAGAAACCCACATTATCTGTATACATATAAGGTATAATATGAAGGAAAATGTGATCTAGCTGACTTCACAAATTCACAGGCCCTTAGTACTCAGGTTATAAATTGCTTATGGAATATATTCCGATAGCATTCCTATCAATCCTTGGTGATCAATATTTTATAAAAACCAGCTGCATGACTGTTAACAAAAGCTTATTATACCCACAGTACTACTGACAGGCCATAAATGTCCTAACTGTGTACATATATTGACAAGTGGCACTTGAAGCCCTAGAAGTTGTGAAGTATATATGGTTACTGTGTGTTACCATCAGGTCATATACCTCTACCCAAAGCTCAAATAAAACCAAACCCAAATAGTTTTACTGTCTTCCGTTTAAGTCACGTAGTATCTATGCCATTAACATGAAGTGTAAAATTTCTGTCAAATATCTGAATACACTACAATAAACTCCTAGATCTACTTACACAATGTGTCAGTGTTTTTAACTCCAAATACAGTTAATTTGGTATTTTCAACTCTAATTCACTACATTGAAATCCTTTACCATATAGTGTATGTGTGATCTGCTATTGGTGTACATTCTTTTTCTAAAAAGGTGATGTCATATTTTTACAATGGTGGCTACCTCACTGAAAATCATGCAGGAGGCCAGTCGCATGTTAAACATGGCAATTTGGCAAGGACAAAACACTAGACAATCCATGATTTCAGCTTTCTGAGAAACACAAACTGGTCTGAGATGTGATCGTACCAATAATCAAAATTGGGTATCCTAACCAATGAACTACATTGCCCACAGAGTATATCGATCTTCAAATCCAAATTATAGCACACTGCCAAAAAAACTCATGTATATATACATACACTGTATCCATCTCAAAACCACCTTTACAAAGTACATCATGAAAGTACATCATGAAAGTACGTCATTCACACATTAATGTACTCTGTATATAGTTGTAATACAAATTAATCCAGCTGTCATGTTAGGAGTACAGGAATAGAATTTTAATGTCAAACTTTATTTCAGCAATTGATTTTCAGACATAATTATCGCAAAAGCTTTGAATTACTTCTTAAATGCAGTTGATTTACCTTCAATCACTTGATTAAATTCTAGTAACAAAATAACAATAATGAAATTCAATGAGAAGGAACTATGTTTTCCTATCTAAGCTGTTAGATAATCAGCTTATTGACTGTAATATATGTCATTCATAGAAACTCACACGCAGTTGCAACTAACAGACAAATTTTTTCCAAGACATATGCTTAGGATGTGAAAAGAAATATGACAATATTATCATTACTATAATATTTATCTTACAATAAGCCTTGTCTGGTAATAAGCCGAATTACATCATTTATAGCTGGAGCTAAAATCCTGTTAAATGTCAATGCCTTTTAATATTTATGAACTAACTACACTAATTAGAACCCTGAGGTTATTGGTTTGCTCCCAGTCTGGGCTTATTACATACCATACCTACATGATGGGACACGATTCTGGTACATCAGAAAGTTTCAATAGGAGTACATGAAATCAGAATAATTTAATTTTGTACTCTAATTTGATGTACAGAAAAGTTTGATCTTGACTCCCGGAGGAAGGTGTGCATAGCTGTACTAGATCAATCCAGTGGACCCTTCAAGGCTTTGGACAAGCAGTGTCTATAATCCCTAGCTTTCAAGTCTACCACCAAACTATTGGGTAATCCTATTCCCTTCTTTTAAGCTTCTAGACCTTGTCTCAAAAAAGATTTTAAAAATCAAATGGAACAGAAAGCAGAGAAGAAATTTACCAATTCCACCAGGAACCCAACCAACTTTCACCAAATAAATCTAGTCAGAAATAAGCACATCACGACTCCGCTATTTAAGTATTTAACAAGTTGTCCCTCAGCGGAGAGATCTGATCTTAATTAGATTGACCCCTCTGCTTAATGTAGAATAAATACAATACTGTAATACTAGTGCAAAACTTATTTCAACTTTCAATATTAAATCTCAATCTGTCATATAATTTTAGTACATAAGAGCTCAATTAACCCTCAACATAATGTACTGAATATTTCTCTGCAAAATATTTATCCAAAAATTAAGTTTATTACAAAAACAATGTACCTTACAGACAGGGCAATTTTATTTGTCACAATATTATACGCTGTTTACAGGATGAAACCAGGCCTAAGACTAGACTATCAACACTTTGGTAAACACAACTAGGAATCTAATTACAATAAAAACATTCGTTCACCGGCTAGATATAAAATAATACCACACTAGGTAGGTAATACGTGTGACAATAGCACACACTATGAGACAGGTAATTACCGTTATGTCCCAGATAGGTGAAGTACGCCAGGTGACCCCTACCTCAAACAAAACGAGGGGACAGTCAACCAGCATAGCATTCGTGTGGGGAAAAATTATAATAAATTATCAATCTGGAAACGATGGCACTATACTTACACGGCGGGCCCTTCCCTGATCCGAAACTTATGTCACATTCAGAAACTTCTATCACAATTTCCCCACCGGGTCTTATACGAATGGCCCGGGCTCCATGCTTGTAAAATTCCCGGTATTTTGAACGATCCGATGTTGTTTGGAAAAACTGAGCACACTGATGACACACAGCCCATGCTTGGTCCTCATTTATAGGGTTATTGAACACTGTCAATATATCCTTTAGTGATAAGAGGTCCCTCTTAGAGCTGCTAGATCCTTTGGGACTCGTCTGCGCCATGGTTTCGGATTGGACATGGCTCTGGCTTGTCTTACCAACTGAGTGTCAAAAAATGCTTGGCAGTGGTGAGGTATTTACAAGGGACATAACTCTGTATGAAACGTTCTGGTTGATTGGGTATGTTAAAATACAGAAGGTATTGAAGTAGGCCTAATACACAAGTAAATATATCTAATTTCCCGATACAAGGCATAGAGCTTTTATCATGCGTTGATTTTAGCAAACATTTTTAAGAGTTTGTGTTTCGTAAACTCAGTATATTAAAATACATACATTAAATTAAACAGACATACGCAAATACATATATGTATAAGTGTACATATACAGCATTTCGTGTAGAAGATATGTACATGGAATTTTCACAAGAAAACAAAAAGGTCACACAAAAACGAAATCTTTTACATGTGCAGACATTTCGTCCTTTTGTATATTGAAACATAAGAAATTCATTGATTAGTTTTTATCTGCACTTACCCACCAAAGCCTAGGAAGGGCTAATTTCCAGGGTTACAAAAATGTACGTATAGTAAAATATCAATACAGTACCTTAAAGATGTTTCAAGTGTAAATGACTGAATCTTTATGCCAAAATATTTTTAAAAAGAAAAAATCACGGAAGAATTGTTGTTAAGCTTTTAGTTTCATATATACTTCGGACTTGACGATGTTGGTACTCAAAGTTGAAATAAATTGTTTTGCTTGTATATTGCACATAAATTTCATTTTAAAGTTTCATTCTTATTTACTCCAACTATGGTGAATATGATAATTATTACAAGTTATTCTAGGTCTAATTATGATAGTCCTGTTTTCTGTTATCAGCGCTAGTGAATTTTTTTGTTTATGAACAGACGAGTTATTTCCCTTATCTACAAGCTGGTTCCTGATAGAAAGTGTTCATGCACAAGGTTTTAAGCCTGCTCTTCTCCAATCAGTGAACTTTTCGATTCAGCATGGTTCTCAATTTTAACTCCGATTGCGTCACAAGAACACACAACAGAAAAAGTAAAAGTGTGTTTACAGGAAAATCAGCAACTTTATCGAATATCAGTGAAAACACATCATTTGAGTGTGGTGCCTGATAGAAAAGGGGATGCAGTCCTCAGCAGCACATTCAGTGGCTAAGTTTTGAAAAGAGAGAAGTAGAGACGAAATATTGAAACTCCTAAGGACAGGGATAGGTGATGGGAAGGGTCATTGTTTGAACGCGGCTTCAGGAATGTGGTGTAAATGTTACAGGCATCCTCGATACTCCAGGGGTTACGATCACTGTTGCTCTCTGCACTAGGAGTACCGAGGATGTGTTAAGCGGTGAACTGATTATTAGGGATTGTAATTTGAACATCGAACAAGGAATGATAAATAATAGAATAAATAAATAAATAAATAAATGGAGAGAGAAAAGGAGGGAGAGAGATTTCAACAAAAAAAATCAAATTTAGATACGTGATTATTTTTAGATCCCATCCTGTTATCTTAAAAATGGACGGGGTTAAATTTCTTTTAGATTGATCAAGAATTCATTTTTTCCAACTTTTCTATCGTATCAATAATATATAAGTACATGTACATTTGGATTTGCTGATGTCTTTCAAATCGGCATGCAAAGTGAGAGAAGTATGGTTTTATAATAATCTATCATTTTTTTTAAACACCACTCATGATGAGAGATGACCCCTATGATGAACAGTCACTGAAACCGGCAGTAAGAAATATCGAATAAACAACCTCAAGTGGATCTCAGTTTCCATAAGTTCATTATGACGTAACAATTGCTTCATTATTGATTTATGACGTCATGATAAAAAAATAATGATTTCCTGGTGCTTTCCGTCACAAGAAAACATACAGTACTCTAGGCCAGGAACGTATCATCTGTTTAATATTTCCCTGTTCAACACATATAGGCACATGACGTTAAGGCGTCGGTCATCAAGTATATTTTTGTAATATATTTCCCTGCAACTAGGTCGTAAATTGTGATAAGAAACAATCTGATTACAGCTAGATATACAGTTGGGAACCACAATGGTGTTTCCCAAAAAATCATTAACTGAATTTAAAAAATCATGTGTAGTTGGAAAATAATGTTGAGTTTGCAATTATCGTTGCATTCCCAAGCATAATATTTCGGTCTCAAGCATAATATTTCGGTCTCAAGCAATGATATTTCGGCGAACGCAATATATTTTCGTTCCCAGCCACTTTGACATTTTACGAAAAGTCATTATTATTTCCCAAAATCAATTATTTTGCCGCAGTGATCAATAGATTTTACTATTATCTGTACATGTTTAGAGGCCAGACTTACACGTACTTTATTTAAACAGTATTTTCAATACAGTCACCTGGCCCATGGGATTTCAGCGGATGTCGATGGTCTTCAAGAGTTAAGCCATTATATGAGCTTATCTGGTATTATTTGATACATTTTTCTTCGTCAAAAAGTTTCATACTTTCTTAATCAAAGTCACTTTTATCTGTTCCGAAATATTCAATTCTCCTTCTTCTTAAATAAATATGATAGTTTGTGCTTACCATGTGTGTATGCATGATTTTTCCTTCTCTTTATTTTTTGCCCCTTTTTATATTTTTATTTCTTTACCTTTTAAATATATTAAATAAGTAACATATAGTAGATAGCTTGTAGGCAAATTGTATGCTGTATCGAATACACTTCCAATTATGGTAACGTTATTAAAAAGAAATAAAGCCTTGAGGATCCTAATTTATGCATGAAACATTACAGTCAAATTTCAATGATGTTTCTTCGTATGTTATCGAATAACTGAAAGAACTTTCCCATTTGATTCCGTTTTATAATGTGTTTTGAAAATTGTATGTACCGTAGTCTGACTACGCATAAATTGATGACGTAGACATCCTCTTGCACAACTGTGTCCGAGAAGCATGACATAGTCCATGTGAAATCCAAAAACGATTTCACAATCACTGAGAGATTAATTGGTCTTCGTTTACTGTTTTATTTTCATTCTAGAATTATGGCTATCCGCGCACAGTTCGAAGGAAACAATGAAGTTGGAGTTTTTTCAAAACTCACAAATAATTATTGTCTAGTTGCTATAGGAGGTTCAGAGAATTTTTACAGGTAAAGTGATGTTCTCGTTGCACACGTGTTGACGTTGAAAGTGAAAGCAAGGGTGACATTATGTATATTGGTTAATGTATATTCAATGGGGATGAATATGTGAAATAGTCATAAAGGTGCTGTAATCTTATAAATTAATCTAAACGTTACTGAAAATGTAGATTATTACATTGAAATAGATTTGTCATGATTTACTTTCAAATGTTCAGTTTTCTTTATTTACCAAAAAATTCATTATTGAAAGTTTCTTATTCTGTAATTACTTACCTTGACATTTTTCTGGTTTTGTAGAATATTCATCAATGATAAAGTCGACTTTCGATATTGTTATAAAGGCCATTTAAATGTTCTTTGTATATACATGTACATAGTATGTCATGTTCATCTATTCTTGTTGGAATTCTTGTCTCAGACAATTTAGTACATCATATATACAGTTCCCAACTACATCAATTCTGGAATACTCACACTTTTCATTTTGGACTCACTCAAATTATTAGAACCTATATCTCTCTTGTAACTACACTCATCAAAATTTTTGAAATGATGCTCTACACTCATCTGAGAAAATCCTTCAAAAATCACTTTTTCAGTTCAAGTTTTTTTTAATTATACAGAATATTTTGATCAGGACTGTTTCTGTAAAAAGACTACAAATATGGAGAAATTATATGCCTTGTGTGTGAAGAAATGTAGCTTATTACATTGATTGAATTTCTTCTTGCATACCTCTTAATGGTCATTGTCAAACCAGGAATTTTTTGTTGGAGTTTTTTTCATAAACTGGAAATATCTCTTCCTAGCTCCTAGGCTTAGCAAATTGATGATAAAGGAAACAAAATCATAGATGGGTTTGGAAAAAATATTTTCTTTTGTCAATGTCAAGAGAGGTAAAGCTAGTTGTTAAACTACTGTGGTAAAATATTAATGAACCCAGACCATACTCTTCATTCTTGATCAATCTCGGCAAACTCAAACAATTTTTTTTCAGTGTGTTTGAAGGAGAATTGTCTGAAGCTATTCCAGTTGTCCATGCTAGTTTAGCAGGATGCAGAATAATTGGAAGAATGTGTGTTGGTAAGTTCTTCTTCAAAACATTTGCTACTGAATTTGTCTTTATGTTGTACTTTTGTCATCTGGCTTTCCTTAGATTTATTTTGCCAAATTTTACCAACGTCTTGTCAAGTGGGATTATCCAATTTTCAAAATTATTTTACAACAATGCAGAAAGGTTTTGAGCCATCAAATTGAAAAGGGAAACATACTTTTCATGTTGAAACTCTTCCCATAAGTCACCTGTGTAGTGTATTTGTAAGCACTCACAATCAGTGCCCTTATTAGGTCTAATACAGTAATTTACTTCACTGCTGTATGACATATATGTTGTATACTACCATTGCATCTCTTACTGTTACAGGAAACAGACATGGTTTGTTGGTTCCAAATACAACCACAGATCAAGAACTTCAACACATACGTAATTCTCTCCCGGACAGTGTTGCTGTCCAACGAGTTGAGGAAAGGTTATCTGCCCTTGGGAATGTCATCGCATGTAATGACTATGTTGCACTTGTGCATCCAGACCTCGACAGAGTGAGTTGAACTTCCTTTTCCAATCGTCCCTTTTGAGAAAATAACTAAGCATAAAATGTCTAGGTACAAATGATGGAATTGGTTTTTATTGCTGTGATTTTTCAAACTTTTTTTCTCACGAATGTCATTTCAGTTAAAGATAAACATCTTTTGACAGAAGATAGTTAAGGATTGTTTTCTATTTTCTATGCATGCATTGAGGTGTATTTACATGATGACTAACAACATTAGTTACCCAAATGGAAATACTTAGCATGTGCAGAAAATTAATAACAATGCTTATATTTACAACAACAGATTTTTATAAAACATAAAAAAGAAAATACCTTATACACAATGGCAAGTTCATTTGAACTACCATATTATAGAAGAAGCGGTAAATGGCACCACTTGAGCATCATTTAAGACACCATGACATCAAATGCTAGTTTTCTTTATGCAAATACATATATAACATAACTTTACTGGTAGATGTCTTAAATGTCTCATCACATTTAAACCACAATTTTGAGATGTAAGCAAATAATACAGCAAAACCAATACAAGTAATTTGATGTGACCATATATTCTTGAGCAAACATAATCTCCATACGTAGATATTGAATGGAAATATAAGAAATCTGGTTTTTAATTATAAGCTATGTCTAGCAGCTAGGCAGATCAGAAAGTATTTTAACGAAATAGCTCTCATTGATTCATATGAACGAACCCAATTTTGGAGTTATTCTTGACAATCACAATTTTCTCTGTCTGCATGAAAGTTTGAAGTAGCTCTATAAAACTTACTTTTTTGTCACAATATAACTGCAGTAGCAGACATCATGTTGTTATAGTTTGATGCATGTGGTTAAAATTTACCGTGATTTTGACAAGGGTTCACCAGTGTTTCAATTCTGTTTTTATACATATTTGCTTTGTAGGAAACAGAAGAAATTATTGCAGACACATTGAAAACAGAAGTATTCCGACAGACAGTGGCAGAGAATGTCCTGGTGGGGAGTTACTGTGCTATCAGTAACCAGGGAGGCCTGGTGAGGATCATAGATTAAGATTGACCCTTAACATGTAACAGTTTTGGAATCCAAATAATATTCTTCATGAAAACAGATGTCATAGATATTTTCAGAACCTGAAAGCAACTTTTAGGGTATCTCAAACAATTTAAAAAAACTATGGGGAAAAGTGAATTTTAATTTGAAGCTTTGTTTTGTTTCTAGGTTTTGCTTTTGTTCCTAAATTTATACAACACTTTTGTACATAAATACTGTAAAACAGATTACAAGTGAGGACTTGATTACAAGTATCATCTGAATATAATGTTGAACAAAGACAATTAAATCATACAAACAGATAGAAAATAAGGCTGACTAATTAGATTAATTTGTTAAAGTTGTGTAAAGAAAACAACTGATGTAATTTATAATCTGAGGAAGCTTTGATTATTAGTTGTTGAAATTATTAGTGACCAGGTACTCTGAATAATATGTACATGTACAGAGAATACATTATTTCCTTTGGTTTTCAGGTTCATCCTAAAACAACTGTTGAAGATCAGGATGAATTATCATCTCTTTTACAAGTTCCACTTGTGGTAAATATCCAAATTGTGATATACATGTATAAAGTGGTGTCTACATTTTAGGAAAGAGTGTTGTAAATATATCTTTGATCTGTTTTTCTGTATTAGAAACAAATAAATATGCATACTTAATTGTCTTTCTATAACTATTTGAAATTCTTATCAGTCTCAGATTCATTTATCATTTATATTATCCAAAAGAATCTCTTTGAAATTAAACAAGTTTACTGTTCTTTTTATCATCCTGAAAAAAAATAAAACCTACTGAATGGCCACCGAGTGCAGAATGGTCAAAATTAGCACCCCTCCATGAGTAATATGAGGTTGCAGTCTTTAAGGAAACAAAAATTTGTGTTAATAATCAAATACATCATTTGATTTTGACTTGCAGGCAGGCACAGTAAACAGAGGCAGTGATGTCATAGGGGCTGGATTGGTTGTCAATGACTGGATTGCTTTCTGTGGACTAGACACAACAAGTACAGAACTTTCTGTGGTAGAAAGTGTATTTAAACTAGGTGACAGACAACCTAGCAACATCACAACAGAAATGAGGGAAAGCTTGATTGATAGGTCAGTATTTCTTTGCCACATTACCATCTTTTCTATTAAATGTGTTTTCTTTATAGATAAATAAAATACTCTACAGGAAGTTTTTTTATTTGCCAGTGTCTGATTTTAACTATTTTTGCCAAAAGATTGCAGGGTGAAAATTGAAGTAGCATATTTTAATTGAGAAAGGGAGTAACATAAAGGTTGTTCTGTAGTGAAAATAGGATTAGGCTAAAATGAGATATTGGTTACAAGAATATTTGTAAACAGACTAGAATTCTTTTGAAAACTTTCTTGCATTTGTTTTTGTTTCTTTTTTTTTTGTCAGTGATTTATTTAGATCAGATTTCGATACCAGAGCTACAATGTATAAAATGTATTCCAGAATGTCTCTTGTTTCATTTTACGCCCTGGAAGTTTTCGATACAGGAGCATTTTGAAATGCCAAGAATTTTGATGTAGTTTTTAGAATAGCTGTTCCTTAGTCAAAATATTTATAGATGTTTGTAACTGTGGTTCATTAACATTCTGTGTGCCCCTATAAAAGATTTACTTTTTTGCCATCCTCCTTGTTTCCACATGTTGTCGTCATGGTCTTGAAATTTTAAATTGCTGCTACTAGGGAATGATAACAATTATTTCTAACTCTCAACAGATTAATGTTAACTCGCATATTTTCATGGGGTTAAAATTTTGTGAATTTCCATAAGTATGTATTTTTGTTCGTACTTTATTTCATGGTTACTTTTCTTTCACGAAACTGCCTTCACTATAAACCATGTGAACTATTATGTTCATTAGTTCATCAACATATAAATATGTGGCTTTAGAGAACCCATAAATTCAACATAAACAAATTCCCGACAAAAATTGATAATTTACAGTATCACATTATTTTTATTATAATCTTTGTATCATTCTTACTTTTCAGTATGACGTAAAACAACAGTTCTCAGCACAGATTGACTTGACACAGAGAGACAATTGGCCACGACATAATTGGCTGTGAAACAGTTGATCTGAAATTGTATCATTCAAGACATTTCCTCTTTGTATATAGTGAAGGAAGACTGATACTGATAGTAAAAACACAGTGTCAACCAGGAAACACAAGAATCGACTTCATGAGAACTACTGTAATTTTTTTTTGAAGAATAGAAATTGTTGTCAATGAGGTACTGGAAAATGTCATGCAGATAAACAGAATGTAAAGATGATTTCCTATTTGCGGGTACTGTTATAACAAGTATAAACGGTGCCAAAACATTGAATCCAATACATTAAAAGGAATGAACACATCTGTATATAACTGGTATATTCTGGTTGTCCTTGTCATCAGATGTATCATGAGTCAAATCAGGATCAAAAACAAAATAAAGAAAAAGTATTGAAATGATTTTGTTGATTTTCTATACATTATGCACTTCCATAAATGCATGAATACATGTGTTTTATCCTAATATAATTTCTAAAACCTGATCAAGAACACATCTTTATATTAATGCTACATGTTAAAATTAATACTGTAAAAGGTACTATTTTTGCTAGTTTAAATTTTTGAGGTTTTCAAAATTTCGAGGTAAAAAACATGTCATGAAAAGGACTATGGTTTTCAAAATTTCCTATCATTTTATTTTATACTGGAAAACTGAAAAATTGAACTCTCTGAAAATAACCACCTTTACAGCACTTATTTGGGATAATAGCAAAGTAACCAGGACAAAGAAAATGGACAACTCAGCACAAACATTCTCAGATTTTAATTACTCCGACATGAAAACGATTCCAACAAGATACTAATTTGGAGATTTTTTTTCCTTTTAGTATATATGATTATAAGGGGGTAATTCCGACTATCATTGGTAACTAAGACAAAAGAAAGATTGCAGAGAGATAGTCTGAAGCCTTCAAACTAACTGCTGTACTGTAGCAGTTTTACACACTTTCCCTCCAGGCCTTTTAACACTACCCACAAGGCATCATTCTTGTCTACACATACATCCATTGTACATTTTGTGTCTGCCTGTATGATCCTGAGGAACTCGCCATCTCCACTGAGGAGAAGGACCCTGCAGTTGTTACAGTCTCCAATGATGATATTCCCCACACTCTCATACGTCACACCACTGGGGTTAAATGGTTTACCTCCTGTTTGTGGTGTTTCTTCATAAATACTGGGGATGTCACCTCTATATACAAACAGTTCCTGTTAGTCAGAATCCATGACGCCGGAGAAAACTCGAAATAACGACAAGAGAAAAATCTGCCAAAGCGAAATAAACGACAACTCACTAATGCGAAATGAGAAAAAGGCGCAAAACTGAGGTAAAAAAAAACCAGCCAAAGTGTAAAGTTAAAATGGCGTCTATTTTACCACGGTTTGGCGTCTTTTCGTTTTGGCGGGTTTCGTCTTTTCGGTTTTTCGCTTTAGCGGGTTTTAGTTTTTTTGCTTTGGCGGGTTTTCGTCTTTTCTTTATTTCGTTTTTTCTATTACTTTCAATTTCAATTCATCTTTTTTTTTATTTCATTCCGAACTGGAAAATGCTGAAAATTTAACTCTGATAGCAACAACCACCTTCACAGCATTTTTGTTAAAAGAAAAGCAACAAGGCCAAATAAAACAAACGATAACTGAATTCAAACAATATCGGATTTTAATCATTCAAACATATTAACGATTCCAACAAAATAATCCTAATTAGGAGATTATTTTTCTCTAAATGTATGATAATTATTATTACATTCTTAACGGCCCGTCAGCACATAGAAGGTCATTAGGGCCATCAAACGATAAAACACAGCGATCCAGAAGGAAATAACATTAAACAAACCAAAAGGTTTTAAATGTATAAAGATTCTACAAAAGGCACATAGGTAAATAGCTCCTGTTCATACAGTTTTGAATAAGAAACAATAGAGCCAGATAATAAATTAAATTGTATCACATACAGAAGCTTTATCCTCCTAGGACTTGCCCGTCATGCTTACGGCTTTATTTTTTAACCTTAGACGGTGACTGAGGAAGATCTAAAGAAATCAGAAACGAACGTCACAATTTATATGGGAAGATCCACTAGCCTCATAATTATATGAATTTAACAATTTTCATAAATATGATTATTTATAGAACAAGTGCGTGTGTATATTCTTAATCGGTAGAAATGTACCATTGTAAATTGATTAAATATATAAGTTCCTTTGTAATCCTTACATCATTTTTTTAACACTCAGAAATTTGAAAGGAAGCTTTTGTATGGTTTTCATGCCAAGTAGAACATGTTATGATTTTCCATTTCCGTGTCCTACATACCGAAATCCAAGTGTGAAGAGTTAAGATTAATAAAGAATAAGAAACGGTTACAGCTAGGAATAGAAGTTAAGAAAGAACCCAGAGAAGCAGTTCAGACTGGAAATTTGACGTAGTTTCATGTAATGCTTACATCATTGCTTCAATAATTAATGTATATGCTATAATGATAATGCTTAGGTAAAAAAATCACAAAACGTGATAGTTTATATATGGTAGTGATGCTATGGTTTATACTTCTATTCTATCTCGCCATAAATCCTACTCTGGTTGTAAGTCCACTCGCCATAAATCCTACACTGGTTACAGGTCCACTGACATATATTACCATTCTGAACAGTTGCTTTAACCAACAAATGCCATTTCAATTGTATACCCCATATCCTGACTTTGAGTCAGATGGAATGTGTTACCTGAATTATTTTTCAATGTCAGATATGTAAGTCGTCAAGACTGATGGAGTTTCTAATCCTGGAATCGTGTTAGGAGGAGAATCAAGACTCCAAACGAGAAAAATAAATATCTTAAACAATATATAGATCTGTTACATATATTCATGTAGCTCTTGGAGCTAATAAGGATAAAAATGTTCTGAAATATTTAACAAATTATTTCATTAATTGTTGATGTTTGACATCAACGTATGATAATGTTAATATGGATATAATACTGTGTTACAGTCGAGTAAAAAGTTTATTGGAAATTTTCTGAAGTTTGCAAAATAAAACATTTTAGTCACAATTACACTGCTTGTGGTATATAAAACAGTAGGACCACACACTTTAATAAGTCGTGATGTCAATCCTGTGTATGATAAAACCTATAGATAAACGTTAACTTGCTAAATTGGCATATTTTTTCTATTTGCTTATAAAATTGCTTAATAGGTACGTGCCTGCAATATCAAACTTTAGCCGGATAACATATACTGTGATCATTTTTACTCGTATTTGGGACTGATATACTTCAAATCTGTTCAGATACCATATGATATAAAACAATATATTTGGGACTGATATACTTCAAATCTGTTCAGATACCATATGATATAAAACAATATATTTGGGACTGATCATATCTTTTCAAACATGTTCAGATACCATATAACATAAAACTATATATTTGGGACTGATCATATCTTTTCAAACATGTTCAGATACCATATAACATAACACTATATATTTGGGACTGATCATATCTCTTCAAACATGTTCAGATACCATATAACATAAAACTATATATTTGGGACTGATCATATCTTTTCAAACATGTTCAGATACCATATAACATAAAACTATATATTTATCATATCTTTCAAACATGTTCAGATACCATATAACATAAAACTATATATTTGGGACTGATCATATCTTTTCAAACGTGTTCAGATACCATATAACATAAAACTATATATTTGGGACTGATCATATCTCTTCAAACATGTTCAGATACCATATAACATAAAACTATATATTTGGGACTGATCATATCTTTTCAAACATGTTCAGATACCATATAACATAAAACTATATATTTGGGACTGATCATATCTTTCAAACGTGTTCAGATACCATATAACATAAAACTATATATTTGGGACTGATCATATCTTTTCAAACGTGTTCAGATACCATATAACATAAAACTATATATTTGGGACTGATCATATCTTTTCAAACATGTTCAGATACCATATAACATAAAACTGTATATTTGGGACTGATCATATCTTTTCAAACGTGTTCAGATACCATATAACATAAAACTATATATTTGGGACTGATCATATCTTTCAAACATGTTCAGATACCATATAACATAAAACTATATATTTGGGACTGATCATATCTTTTCAAACGTGTTCAGATACCATATAACATAAAACTATATATTTGGGACTGATCATATCTTTTCAAACGTGTTCAGATACCATATAACATAAAACTATATATTTGGGACTGATCATATCTTTTCAAACATGTTCAGATACCATATAACATAAAACTATATATTTGGGACTGATATACTTCAAATCTGTTCAAATACCATATAAATATAATATAAACAATACATTTGAGACTGATATACTTCAAACATGTCTAGTTATCTACTAGACAATATACGTGTATTTCAATTGGACTTAATTCCACTAATTGCACTTGAAAATAAATCAAAATGTGAAAAAATACACACGGAAGACGTCTTCTAGTAGATTAATAAAGTTCAACCTTTTAAACTATTTACATTCTTTAAAGCTCACAGTAATATAATTCATATCATGAAACCCTTTTTACTAACTAGGTTTTCATAATATTAAACAGTTATTTCGTTAATCAAAGGAGACTATTGTCCTTATATATTGTTAAGAATTTGACATAAATTATACATTTTACTCTCATCTTTATGATGATAATGAAACATGAAATTCTCCACACCATGACAAATACATGTACATATTTGACGAATAAACAAATATTCACTTGCAATTATGAATAAACTCAAAGAGAAATTGAAAAAACTTAAATTTGATTATCATCACACTTCCATATAAAGATAAATCAGTTTTCAAACAATCCGGCCGACTTCGAGATAACGAAGTCCTATTGTTTTTAATAAAAACGATAATTCAACAAAACAAATATGTACATGTACCATACACAATGGACAATATACAGAAATGAATACAAAATTGATCATATGATTTGAGATAGGATTGGTCACGATAAAACGATCCATTGAATGAGGAATACATACACGGTAATTGTATATAACATAGATTAGATAAAGTCCTTGTGCCGGAATGAAATATAACAATAAACAAACAACCAGAGTCTTCTTTTGTCCAAGTTTATACAACAACATACGTGTTTGAAATCAAACGAATTTAATTTAAATATCTTTATACTGGTTGATATATACATACATAATGTACATAATAGTGAGCACTATGAAAAAATGAAAGAAGAAAAAATCACATTTACATTATAACATTAAAACTGTTAATAGCACTATTGTAAAAAGGCATTCTCAATCACAATTTGAATATGTCCCTCATTTATCTACAAAAAATCAAATACCTTACAATTGATCATAACCGCTAGTTTCACGATAAGATGTAAATAAATATTCGTTAAAAAGGTCAGGCTTACTCGGGTACCTATTTTAAATGTGTCTGGATAAATAGTTTCAAAAGTGAAACTTAACTGAAAATAATTGATTCGTTCATTATCTCGCCAGCAGGTTTTTAATCTCAAAATAAATTTTGCTCTTCTTTAAAAGTTTCCGCGAATATACTGCTGCAATAGCATTTGTATGTGTTTAAAGTATCAGATTCATAGTTTCGCTCGAAGACTTCTGACTTCGAATTTCATAATACAAGGAAAACAACAAAGTAACGCACGACACGACAGTACTGACAAAGACTATAATTAACCTTTAGCTGACGAAAGCCCATTTAATGTTTCAAGAAGATTTACTAATGCATGGACCACAATATAACACAATATATGTGTGGTAAATATTATAGTACAGAATATGAAAACACTGTAATTGCCAGCTTTTTTTGCCGGCACCGTCCTAAATGTCGAATCGGAGAAGCAATGAATAGCCAATACAACAATCTCTTAACAGTGTTGTAAAGATTTTTTTCTGTCGGTACATCGTGGTTTATCAAGACCCGATTTTCATAACACACGTAGCAGCTCTAGCTTGGATTCTTCCAGCCGTGTTAACCAAGGTAAATTTCATTCTGTATGTAAGGTCTGCGTCGGTCCTCTCTGGAATATCATTTTACCTACAAAGTTTGAGCAATTGTGAGCGATATTCAATAAAAGTAGAAATCTGAAATCTATACATACAAACTCAAAACCTGAATACGTATGGACTTTACAAACAATATATAGACTATACATACCATATAATTGGTCACAGCTTTGTTGATTTGTTAATTATCCAAACAAATCCTGAACAGTATGAAGGAGTTTTTGCAACTCTAAGCGTAGAGCAGTTTCCTGGCCAATCTCATTGTCCTGGAATTTAAAGTGAGTCATTTATTAAATGGACTTGTCATGAAAATGAAACATGCGATGCTACGTTCACTAATAACTTGAAAGTGAAATAAGCCAAGTATTGTAAAACTTATTACATTAAGGCAAACCTTATTGTAATAAATTTCGTGTTTATTGCAATAAGTGTCGTTTACTGTAATTATTTTCAACTTATTACTATAAGGTTAACTTTGATGTAATTCATTATTACAATATTAAGTAGTTCGATACAAGAAGCGTTGCAACAAACCAACGTGAAGATGACAAAAGCAACATAGATGAAGAAATAATGGGTAATACTTTCTTTTTAAGGGTAAAAAGATTGTTTTCCTCCGACTGCTAATAATTGGCCACCGGGGCCCGAGGGCTGGGTCTAAATAGAGCAAGTAAACTAATTCTTTAAAATCCTATATTTTCTGAAGAAATGACAAAATTTTGCCTCAATGTGGCCAGAAGCGTCACAAGTGATCTCCGGGGCCTGAGGCGCGAAGACACATCGGGCGTTAGAAAGTTTGGATCATATTGGAGAAACAGAAGTAAATCTTTTATAAACCTCTCCCCTAGTTGGGATAAAAAGATTTTGATCAATGTTGTCAGACGTATCTATGGGAAAAGGGACCCAATTTTGTATAAATGGTGGATCTGATCTTACATTCCCGGGCGGAGGGACGGGATCCGAGAAGGAAAATAGGTGGGTCTGACCACCCAGAATGATGACGTCGGAGGTCACTATGGGAATAGAGGTATTCCATAAAATCCTTCTATTAGGATTAAGACATTTTGATCAGATTTGGTAAAGAGTATCCTTGAGTGAAAGGTACTCAATTTTGTTGGTATGGAATCAACGCACATCCATTTTTTGACAATGCAGAAATATCAACCAAATATCGTTCACCGTTCACAGAATTCTGTGGCAGTAAAAACTTTATATAAAATGATTGTCTGGAACCGCAGGAACAGATTGATGGGGCCCAATGGGGGACCTGGCTGTTAAAATTTGATTTTCTTCTTTTTGGAATTACTTTGTTATACACATCAAGGTGAGCAATGGGTCCCTATGGTTCTATTGGGTATTTACCTCTCGTTGACTATGGTTCTTCATTTTCTTCAGCTTTTCTATCTTTCTCAAACGTTGACCGATTTCTTCAATTCTCTGAGTTGGGTCAAGAAGAGCTTGTGGTGACTTAACACGTGCCATCCCTACTCGGCCATGGCTCTGTGTTGAATTTGCAACTAGATTTTGTCGATCGCTGGATGATACATCATACGCCTTTGGACCGGCCCAAGAGAATCCTAGGTAGAAAAACACCTTCTTCTGCCACAACGACCTTTGACCTATAGGCATGGCTGTTGGCACACTCAAAACTTCTTTGTTTCCAGATGCTGTCTCTATTCTAATCAGAACTTCCAATCCATCCCCAACTAAAGTTCCTTCTAGACGTTGTAGTTTATGAACGACATTGGGGTCTTGCCATATGGCATCTCCTTTGAAGTACACACTACCATGCCGATTATGAAGTTCTTCGTAATAGACAATTTCGTCATTTTCAGGATCTTTCCCTAGAAAGAAAAATGTTGTCTCTTTTTTTCTATGAGGACTGCTTTCATCTCTTTGTCGTGGATGATTTGTGTGAAATGCTAGTTTCCAACTTTTTATTGCTTCGCGAATCGTACCCACAGGACATATGTTCTTTCCGCTTCTGTTTGGAGTTGGCCAGTGGAACATCACAAGATACAAGAATACTTCCAGATACGGAAATGGGTTTTTTGACCTGCATTCTGCGTCGTACATGCGCTTTGTAAGTTCCAGGATGTTTGGCACTTTGGTGGTTATGCTTTCGTTTTTGTTGTGGATTCTCATAGCTAATGCGACGCTGATTAGCATGATGGTGTCAAAGGCTTCAGTGCAGTCCGATAAAATGTTTTTGTTCAAGTGATCAAACATGATTTGCAACTGTCTTACACAGCTACCGTTGTCTTGACGTAAGCATCTCAACAGCGAGGACAACGAGCGTCCACCCAACCGTTTTACCCGCCGCCTTCTGAAATCTGCAGTTTCCAGGGGAGAAAGATGTGACGGCACAGCGTCTGTGCCTTCTCCAAAAAGCATATCAACATTCTCCCTCAAAATCGCCACACCCTCATCTGGTAAGCCTTTTTTATCACGGAAAAGAGAACTTGAAACGTTTTCCTTCAGTTGTGATGGTCTTTCTTCGATTTTTCTCATTGCTCTTTCAGTAAATCCTTGCAACTTTTTTAGAACATCTCTGCTGTCATCATCTAAAACTGAAAGCGATTTTGATTCAAAACTGCTTTCAACAACAAATCTGCGAAGCACGTCTTTTTCAAAAGGTGAATAGTTCAGAACTTTCATCAATAGTATGATGAGTTTTACTTCTCCAAAGTAACCAGGGTCATTTGGGGAGGCTTGATTGTCCTGCTCGCTTTGATATTGCTCTTTGTGAAATTTTTCAATCCCCTTCATTGCAACTTGGATAATGTGACACGTGTCCTCGACCGACAACACACCATTCAGAATACACGATTCGTACCTGTCTAACACTTGTGCTTTAAAAATTTGGCCATAAGTATCCCAGAGATATGAGTTGTTTGGACGGAGATTTGTAGCTTCAACGGCATATTTGGTCGCCATTTCCCAGTTTTTGCAGTGTATGTACAACCTTGCGATTTGTTGAGCAATCATTGGATCATCTGTCATCTCAAAGCCTGTCCTTAAAACATTAACCGCACTCTCAGTATCTTCCTCGTTCATGATCTCTGTCAAAATTCGTGAAAATTTTTCTCTCCTACCAGTTTCTAATTCCTCCCTTTTTTTCAACACATCTTTTACTATCCGAACAGCTTGGTTTACCGACCTGTTTTTTCGTTTGAAAATTGCAGACTGTAAGAATTGTAGCATGGTAGAGCTGGTACTTGCTTCTTGTTTAAGGTAAATAAAAATCTCTTTTGCAAACAGTGGATTGATAATTGACAGAGCTTTCAAATTACTGCCTTGACCACTTCTCGATGATACATTAAGCAGTACTTTTAACTCTGAACTTAAGTTTGTTTCCCAGTTTTTTTCTCGTTTTTGTTGACAATGTGTAAGAGCTAGACCATATGTAACTTTTGTTCCAGATTTCTCTTCCATCAAGGCATCGAATGCGCTGATGGGCAAAGGCTGAAAATCCATATCGTAGGTGTTTATCAACGACAGATACATCAGCAAGTCCCTCTCCTTTGTTGACTCGATACCATCAACATATTGCTTGACAATGCCTTTGATATAATCCAAGTTGAAATTTTCTTTCAAAATGTTGAATGAGATCAGGAGTTTGGGATCAACACCACCTTTATCTTGGAATCGCCGTTCTAGTGCACGTGCCTTTCTCTGAAACCATGCCAGCTCTTTTTGTTCCAGCTCTTGACGGATAAGGACAGTGTGTTCTTTTACCGACTTTGGCAGATTGGTTTTTCTGGTACATATCAAAAGGACACAGTAGGTTCCAATGCTTTGCTCAGATCGAATTGAAGCCTCACGTGCTCGTCTTTCCAGAACGGCGTGTAGATGTATGACTCCGTCTTCGTCACAGTTGTCCAGTAAAACTACTGGTGGTTTAGCAGAACTTGATTCCTCGTAATTTCGCAGCGCAATGATTTGATCACTTGTCTGGTCTGTGACCTTTTTCACGACACAACATCGAAATTCTTTTCTCAAATCCCACAAAATCTGCCTTGCTACTGTCGTGCCCCCAGATCCGGGTTGATGAATCAATTTAACAACAGCCACTTTGTCCTCTTCGATGACTTCCCTTTTTAGCGCTTCCGTCACATATTTTTTCAGAATATCATGCTTTGATCGACGACATATTTGGTCTTCTCCAAACCAGTAATTCCACCAATTTGGCTGTTTCCCGCAGTAGAAAGCCTCTTGAACTTCTGTAAACAATTTTAGTTTTTTCGTTTCATCTTTCAGTATATCGCTGTCATCACATTCTTGCTGACTTAGTATGTCTAGGTCACAAAGTTCATTCCGAACTTTGTTTTTCAAGGGGCAATATACTCCATTGGAATGTGGTATCTGACAAACAGTACTTTGCATTGGTGCAACGACCTCGCGGACCAATTCATTCACATGTTCCCAAGGCATCCCTATAATGCATCTCTCACGGATTGTGTCTTTGTCAACACTATTTCTATGAAGTAGTTCTGCTACCCAATGGTTGGCAATGTCTTTCGTTGGTGCCAGTAAAATCCACTGCCCATGTGATTTGGAAAGAACATCTTCAGCTGCTTCCAGCATAATGTCATAATTTTTTGAAAGTAAAAGAAATATTGCTAATGATCGCCCCTTTGGGATATCATTATAGCAGTATCGCAAAGCCTCCTTGAACCCCTCACTTCTTTTCTGCTTCCATTCATATGTTCCCATTTCATCCTTCTGCATTCTGTCATATCCATTTGCAAATATCCATGTCTGCATAGTGGAACTTCTAAGATCTTCTATTAAATGAACATGACGTTCAGAGTCAACCTTGTTTTCGTCGCTTTCTTTATCAAAATTGTCTGTAGTCATCACTTTTAGGGCTTGTCCCTTGTTTTCTTCAATGTAATTGTACAACGAATCGGGCTCAGTGGACGAGCCGAAGTCAAAAACAGCATATGGTTCAAGGACTTGGATAAATTCTATGTTATTTTCTGCTATTTCGCTCTTCAGATGCTCATCACCAGGACTTGAAATAAGGATGTGATATGTTTCATCTGTAAGGAAAGAATCCCCACCTGAAAAAACATTCAAGAATTTTAGTCTCAAGTCCTCGTTCACAGGGATGGACTTCGGCTTATCTTCTTGATCTTTTCGTTGTTTGTAAAGTCTGCTTTTGATTTTCATGTATTGCCGTATTTGCTCATCATTTTGAATTTCTGGAATGGTAGTTCCCTCCTTGAACCTAAGTAGAGTCGGCTTGCTGTCAGTTTCTCGTACAAATACTGCCTCGTCTTCCAGAAGAGCAGCATGAGGTACCACATCTATTTCAACCACAAAGCAAGGATGATGTTTGCTCAATTTAACCACAGGAATGTATTGTGGAGGTCGTATGCATTTCCATACCATTTCTATCTGGTCTGGGAAAAATACTCTCGCAAGCACGTTTTAATTGCTTGACTACACTTATCCTTATCGATGGAAATTCCAACAACTTTTCCTTTCATCTGAGTGTCATCTGTCAAAGTTTTGATACCAAAATGAATAGTTCCATTTGTTCTATCATTCATGCATGCTGATGCAAAGTACATGGTCTTCCTTGCCAGCCATGTCTCAATATCATGTGAATCTCTGACATCGTAGTCCGTGAACATATGGACAGGTTGGATTAGGCTGTGAACCCATGTGACGTCAGACGATACTACAGCAAGTTCTCTGTAAGATCCTAGCACTTCAGTAGGCGCATCAAACTTTCGAAGAGATTCACGTACTGTAGTTTTACTGTCTTTCACATCCGAGACCAGCGTACAAGTTTCACTTTTCCGTGTGGCATTCTCTTCTGCAATCAATTCGTCTTTAATTATCATTATGGTTTTTTTCTTTCCGTATGGCAAGTCTGTGATGTTGTTCAAATCTGTCACGTTGAAATGTTTGAACACATATCCATCTATTTCTTGTTCTTTAAAAACCCTTAATATGTCATGTGGTATTCCAGATTGCTTAAACCTCGGCTCCAAAATACGACAAACATCATCTGTGCTGAGTAGATCGAGAGATTTTTGTGACTGATGCATTTTTTCTTCACAGGATTCTCTATTACCTGTAACAATAATAATACTGGATTTAAATCAAACTATATATCTGGTTAGAAATTTTTAACCAAAAAAGTATCGGAAAATATCAAATTAGAATAGTATGCTTTTGATAAAACAGCATAATCACTATCATTATAGAAATTATCTTTGTTGAGAATTTACTACGGACTAATGAAATTAATAATCAAAGCATGCTTACTTCCGCTACAATCTGGTTTCGCTTCTGCAACGTCCAAATCGACAGATTTTCTTGAAAGATTTTTGAAAGCATGCCTAGATGGTGTCAAGGACTAGCACACCAGCACGTTCTGTACATTAATACATCACTTACAATCTATTTTTATCCAAGATCAATCACAAACGGACTTTGTTTTAATAGAGTACACTTTTGTGGAAAGTAAGAAACAATAAAGGTGCAAAAATGAATTGCTTTGACAAAAATATCTAGTTTTCCATACATAGCAAAACCGCCTTTTCTGAAAGTAGCAGGCATTTAGTATTTTCACAGCATCTAAATCTTGATGAACTGATGAAATAATTTGATGAAAATGGTAAGACAAATGACGTCATAGTGAAGACAAATGTTATCTTTTTATTTGATTTCGTGGATGAATAGTATTAGAGAAATTATCTGATTCTTTGATAATGTGTATATTAAACTTTTTATCATTTCGTGGACACATCAATTCACAGATTCATGAGTACCCGCGAAATCATCGAAAAATACACGAACATTAATGATTTTACAGTAATTTGAACGCTAGACTTGAAATGAACTCTAAATGTAGCATAAACCTGTCCGTATTTTGAGGAAGAATTTAGAACTTTTAGGAAAAGGATACGTTGTTCTTTTTTTGCTGCTGCTTGGCTTTCCACATCTGACCGATGGAAAAATTTGTTGTACCAAGCGCACAAGCGTATCTTCGTCTATTCTTAGGTCTTTTCCTTCTAAGTAAATCAATTGCAGGATGTCCTTTTCAAGGTCAGTGTAACTTATACGTTCTCCATCGGACTCTTGATACAGGATTAAAAGCTGTTCTTTCAGAAATTCTTCATCTGACTCTAACTCTGTATAAAAGGCAATGAAATAAGAATATTTTGAATGATATAAGTTGTTTTTATTTCAGTAGGCCAATATCAAACGGTTGTCCTTTTCCAAATTCCATGCATGTCTTTGAATACATATTCATGTATACACGTATAACAGTTTTTTTTCTCTTTAAAAATAGTCAGATCAAATCCACTGCAAATATTTCAACTCTATAATATGAGATATCTTTGGTGGAATATTAACATAATAAAATAACCTTTCTTTAATACAGCCTCGTCAACAACAGTAGACTCTAGTTCTTTTTTGACATGATGAAGTCCCTCCACTGCTAGAACATCAAGTAGTTTTTCATAGCCGTCTAACTTCCGTTTGATGATTCGGAGAAATTTGGAAATCTTATCCCGTGTTGTGTCTTCCTTTTCAATTCTTTCACGGTCATCATCAGATATGACGCCATCTTGATATAAACGTGGAAGTATATGCCTTATTTCTAGATTATCGCGAAGATATGTCTCATTTCTTCTAAGTATCAGTTGACTTCTTTTATCCATCAGTATGTTTCTAAGCCTGGATAAAAATACAGTTAAAATAAGCATTTACACATTGCTGAAACTACTGCTATAATGCTGGGCGTATACGGTGCTCTTTAGTTAAGGGTTGGTTCCGTTGTTGTATACCTTGCATACCTCATTTGAGAACGTGACATTACATATTTTGATTGACCAGGATTTATGTAAATTCGTTTAATGTATTGAATTTATAAATGTTTGGTGATCATACATTTATTTTTGCCAGTTAATTACGTCAATGAACACTAATCCTATTTTGAAATAGCATATCTATGATAAAATAAATATTTGTATGTCCTGAAATTATTTATATATATGGAGAAAATATCGAAATGTGAATTATTACAGTGTAAGTATATATTGTTTTAAATTATGAACCTGCCAACCTGCCATAAAATAGTTAATTTTAGACACTTACCGTAATTTCACACAAATTACAACCTTGCTTAAAGACAGTTTCAACATAAGACATCTCGCTATTAAGACCACTTCATTTCAGTCCCATAAAACTTCTATAACTATCTGATTTTGATATCTTCAAGGTGTCAGTTTCGTTATTTGTTTCTAGATTCGGGTTGAAGTTTTACGGTTGCTATAATGATCTCATTGTAAAATATTCTACTTATATAAACTTGAACGTGTTTGTTACTCAATAGTATACTTGTTGGTTCAATTGTTGTTTACCTTGTGTTTGAATCGACACACAACCTACTCGGATTGACCAAGATCACTATGTCGTCGATGAAGCAGAAAACGATTTCTTTACCTTGTCTTAATCTTCTTGTATTTTTCTCCATGCAAATCTTTCTTTTGTTTAAATTTCGCCCTACTGTTATTGAATTTGGTTTTGGATTATGATTCTCTAGACATAGAGATCAGACGACGCAGTGGTAAAACGCTCGCCTTTTACCTCGGCGTCCGGGGTTCAATTTTCTCCTGGTACTCAGGATTCCTCCCACATTAAGATCCCTCGCGCGTTTCCTTCCGTGCCAACAAGAGTGATTAATATAAGCTAAAAGCTTGATTCGTAATTGTTGTTAAATTAATAAAGTTTACATTTAAGCATCTTGAAATACTTTGTATGCATTGAAAGAATGTCACAATATCTTTAAAGGGATCTTGATTGAATGAATCTCAAAGGCTTGAATGGTCTAATGCATGTTACATTTTAAACAAAAAAGGCAGCATTGACGATCTAAGGAAATTGGAATTTAATACCAAACATTTCGGCTTATACAACGTATAATCATCTAATTTAAAATTTACTTTTTAGATCAGTTATTGTATAATTGGTAAGGTCATTAACAAATAACATAATTATATCAATACTTATTTAATCAGTTTTATTGATTAAGAATGAAAAATTGTTAAGAAAGACATGTACATGAAAGAACAAGCAGATGTACCTGATATATAATACAATGACCTATGATGTATGCACAGTCACGAAAAAGGATAGCTGACTTTCAAACAAGAACAAGGTAAACAACGACGGAAAAACCAACAAACACGCCCATCTTCATGCCGCATAAGAAAATAGAATATTTTCCAGTGAGAACATTATGACGTCTATAACTCTTCCCCATCACTTTAATCAACCTGCATCTCTGGAAACCCTGTGTTACTCATCCGTACCATGGTTATTTTCTGTTAAACGTATCATATACCGCGGTAAAATGCTGTCTCTGTTGAGTTTATAGGAAAAATTCGGAGTAAGCGACTGAAATATAAGATGAACGTAGTAAATAGATTTCTTGTTATTTAAAAAGACGACATCTTCAGTATATCTGAAAGTAAAATAATGGACTTTGCAAATTCTTTGTGACCAATTTTGATAAGCTCTTCGATAATGATAAGAAGTCAGTCAGAAGGGGCACATTTTGTTAAAAGGTAGTTCATATTGTCCCGTGGATTAGTGTGCTTTTTTTGTTGAATGATTTGAAATATTCTCCATGAAAGTGTATTTCTCCACAGATTAGCATATCACTTCAGTTAACCTTGAGAACATAGGTTAAACAATATGGATGTCGTCACAGTCATGTGGGATGACAATGAGAAAGACGCATGAAGGGAGGTAACCACTAAATATGTCTTTTACTATCGCATTTGGTCTACTTTCAGTTTCGATATATGTTGCTTTTCTCGGAAAAGGGGGGCCCATTATGGGTAGTTTGTTGATTATAAAATGTTGTCGAGACATTTCTCAATACACAAGTCAGCAATCAATTCGTTTGAAACACTACATTTTTCATGATCATGAAACACCATCCAGCATTGATCCTATAACGTCCAGCTTAATCTAACATCGTTTATTCAGTATATCCCTTACTAACGCATATGATCATACATATACATTATAGTGACTTTTTTTGACAAAATATGCTGAAATAGATTGGTAAACTGTCGAGTTATCATATGTCTTTAAAGCGCGGATGGGAGATGAAACATCGTCGTTCACCGATAATACCACTGACCTATGATTATATAAGTACAGCAACAATAGCTTCAATAGACTGGAATGCTATCAACCAATCGATGAAATAAATAAAACAACTATCAAAGAAATAAGGATTAAGTTATTGATTGTTTGCTTGGTTGACAGGTTTTCCGCCTACCGATCAAGTGATCGGAACGTCTGTATATAAAGACCGAACAAGGGGCATGGAGGTAAAGGACATGTTTCCGTATAGGCCTACTTTACAATTAATGTACTATAAATAGTTCACGTAAGGCTCCTTTTTCTCTCTCTCTTTTCTTAATAAATATAAGTATATAGATCGATCATCAAACACTAGAGTTTACATATTGCACTTACTTCAAGTATTGTTCCTCTTCAAGGTGTCAATTGTTTGTGCGGAGCCATAATGGAAATTACTGCTCTAATGCAGTGCTCAGCTTTATCAGCTCAACCTGTTTGCGTCATGTTTCCATAAATACATATAGATATTGATCGATATAAGATACTGAAAAGAAAGTAGAATTGATAATTCTTTCATAAAACAATATAAATAAATTACCTACATCGTATGAATGACTTACTTGATACATATGTCTGCGATGTTTTTTTTTTTTTTTTTAGCTTAATTGAAAGTCTATCAATTTGTTAATGTCGGACAAAAATCAGCGAAGCTTTCTTATGATAAAAAAGGATTATTGATTTACAAAGTTTGATTAATAGCGTACTCACCTTTACTTTGGACACGGCGTTTTATTCGAGCAAGGTTTTTTGCAAAAGATTCATGGTGACGGTACACAGTTGGCTCGGTGCCATTATATTGTATCTGCTTTGTGTGTCATATCTCGTACAAAACGAGACGGTGCACTGTAAACCATGTACCATGAATATAAAGTAGTGCATGTTTTTATGTTCGTGTAATCCTCCATGTTACGGTGTGGAACTGATGTCTACCATCAGTCTACCATCTATCTACCATCAGGAACTGATGCCTTCGGCAGACATCCCATCTGATCACATTACACTGACGACGACTGAAGCAATCGTTACCTGCTACAATGCTGAATGTTAACGAGGGAGTAGTATCTGTGTATATCTGTCTAGTATCTATGTTGACTGTGGTATGTTATTATAAAACAGGTCAACAAGTTGCTTTTTAAGAATAAAAGAAACTTACTGTAGATTTGATAACTAAAAACTAGTGCTAGAATTTTCAGTCTGGGGAAAGAATTCTAGAAACAATAAAAAACGAATATATATATATATATAGTCTATTGTCGTTTTGAATAATTTGACGGTAATGCAAGTAAAAACAAAATTTCATCTTCCTTTTATGGATAGACATAAAAAGTAAGGTTACATGTATGTGAAAAAGATAAATTCATTAATCATTTCAATGAAAACTCTATATTGGTTTTTTTAACACAGTTATTCAGCACCTAGATTTGGTCTTTTTCTGTAGAATTTTCCAATTTCTTTGTTATGGCGTGTGTCAGTCAATGTTGCAGTTTCAACCAATTCCAAGAAAGCGTAGCTCAGTTATAAGATACCATAAAACCAAATAATACCTAGTAGTCAGGTATTCTGAGGAGCAGTGTCGATTTTTGGTTTCTCGACCAAAGTGTATACATAATTGCATAAAGGAAGGTTATATTGTTCAACGTATATATAGTTATATTTCTGCAGCAACATATATCAGCATGACAGCGTCCGTCTCTTCATAACCAGCAAATACAGTCACGACACCAAGACTTATCTTGATACATATGCTTAATCGTTTCTACTGTAATAAGAAATAGATAAAACACAAACAGAATTGAAAAAAAATGTATATTTATTAGCCTGCTAAATTTTCACACACAAGCTTATATTACAAGGTAAGGGAAATATTGAATAAACATGTCTCACAAAAATCAATTATGTAAACTTGATACAACAAATTATGTTTTCCACGCATTCTGTATAGTTGTTAATACTTGCGGGGAAATCAATTTCGCTCTATTCTCGAATGTAAAGTTTGTTGAATATTGTTTTACCAGATTATATTTTGTAAAGCCGTAAACACGCCATGTAGATATAAGTGTTCTTAATGCCAAGGTAATCCTCCTTTTCATTGTCTACTATTAACCATAACTTTGGCAATGCACGTTACAGATTTAGAATAAAAAAAATCTGTTTAGAATTTAACAAAATATATGTGGTATGTTGATGTACTGTATTAAAGACCTTTACACTGGTATAAAATGAGAAAATATTTACTTGTTATATAGTGTATAGTGCCATGAACCTATTGTAACAGTTTTCTGTAAGGATTACAATGTTTATGATAGAATCTTATTATTTTTGTACGGCAAGATTTGTATCCTCATACTAGTACAATGCATTCATTACCACTATCTGCAAATGCAGGTTTTAGACACCTTACAGTATATCAAGTGTTTTTCCTTTTGTGAATGACATTATTACCAGTTTGTACCAAGAAAGATGTTTTATAAATTTTTCACTTCCTTTGAGATTTGGGAAACCAGTCTAAGAATTTTCACTCTTCGCTTTGTTAAATTGAGAAAAAAGTGCATTTGTCACACGCCATATGGAATTCAAGTTCGTTTATCACTTTAGATAATACTATCAACAAATCATTATTTCCATGCCATTTATCTATTGCCTCCATTGTGACGTTATCCTGGGACGGACATCATTTCATTAGATGGTCAATGGGGCCACAATGGGTCATTTTACACTTGTGTCATACACAAGAATCACTATACAGTAGACAAATAATTACTGAATGTTACATAAAAAAATCAGAAATATCACATTGACATCTTCGTTAAATTAAAGATTGTACAAAACAAACGCAAGTGATTGTTTAATACAAATTAAGAATATACACATGTACGTTGTTTGTCAGTGATGGTAACTTTCGAAATCTGAAGGAAAATCAAAAGTGATCAAATGAAAAGTCAAAATCTTGACGGGAGGTGCAATCGCATCATAATTCAATAAATCTTGGTATTTCCAAATATGTATCAATTTAGGAGAACGTCAATTATATGTGTATATTCTGATATGCACCACATTTCGAACGAATTTAAACGAGGCATGCAATGTCACTGTGAAACATACTAAAGCCAATTATTGAATCGTTGAAACATCCATTGACAAAGTCAGGGATGTGTAACCGATCATGCTTTATTTGTCCCTGACAAAGTATATGTAATTTATGTTACGTCTTTTCATGCATTACTAGCTTAATGCTACGTATATACACAATGGGATATATGAGTTAAAAAGAATTTATGCTACATTGACAAAGAAGTTTTCAATAGCATATTTCCTTTTTTATAAAACAAAGACAATAGCGGCATGTCGACAGAATCTTAATTCAAAACAAAACTGATGAAGTTCGCGGGAAATATGTAGAAAAGAAATAGGTACATGGAGACTCCTAAAAAGTACAATGACCTCTTACACTCATTACTAAATGGTCGATCCAAGTAAGTAATGTCTCGTTCTTCAATGTACAATTGAATGGTATCTGTAGTGTCTAGGATTCCGTCCTTGTGTCAAGAATAACGACTGTTTTGTACAATATATTATATATATATATATCCTGAATAGCAACAGCCTAAAACCAAGAATATGTTTCGGTTTTAGGATATAACAACAGTATAAGCAGTATTTTTATATATATTTAGTCACTCCTTTCTTTTAATGACTATATAGTTTTTTACGCCTTTTTCATAGTCAAATATTGAAAGCAAATACTCTACAGTACGTGCCATTAGAATGAACGAAAACAAAGTAATGAAATTAATTTATACAGATAAAATGTAAAGTATCAAAACGGACAAAGCTGTCAAGTAAGATGAACTTTAAAATGTAATTAAACATGTGACTTCGATGATAATAATAATATAATGTTTAATCAAATAAAGTATATAAAAATTGTTAGTTTAAAGCTTTGTTGGATGAAAAATTGGATTCGTAATTTCAGATTATTCGCATTTTTTCTAAAATATATAATAATATATTTAAAAAATGTCAAAATATGGATATCAAACACACCGGTAGGCTATTCTCATTCATCATCATAATATAATTCATGAAAAAACCAAATAACATGTACATAATGCATCATATATATTCTATGACATTTTTATCAACGAATCTAATCATTAATGATAAGTGTTATAATTTTTAACATAAGCGATTCAAATAGCTGTTGATTGGAATTCATACAGATAACCGGAATTGCTATTATCGTACAAATATGACTGCCCTATGCTTCTTGAAGAAGTAGTATTGAAACTGTGTTTGAGATTTCGGACACATATTTTTTTCTGGAGCTACATCGTTCGAGAAACTTATCTCAAAATCATTTATCCATTGCCTTGTTGATTGTAAATGAGAAAACAAACAGGCCACAACTTTGTACAACAGGATTGTCAGTAAATGTGTCTCACTCCTTCTAGCGTGCATATACCGAAACTTTCCTCTTTATGGGCCTCTTGAAGTCTTCATCAGGCGTTTGAAATTTTCTTGACTGAAAAAGAGACTTTTTCTTAAAAGGAGAAATATTTCAAAGCACATTTGAAGAATAAAATTTAAATCTAATTATTCACAAGCACTGGCACAAGTGCTCATCAAATAAAAGGATGGCTACTATGTTTAGAAGTGCTAAAGTATTTCATGTATTAGAACTATACGCCTAACTGACAACTATTTTTTTTCTTTATTTATAGATCATAATCAGGAAATCATTTAAACAGCCAGTAATCTATAACATATTTTGCTTCAGATTTCATGGCCGATGTGTTTATGACCTTTGAATCATGGAGTTTTGGCAGACTATGATAATGATAAATATACTGCTAATTCTCAAAAAAAAAAAAAACAAAAAAAAAAATCTGTGCAGATCGTAATAAAACAAAATCCCGTTCACTACGTTAAATTGATTCATCTTCCATTGCATCATGAAATATAGATGACATTCCACCTATGTAAGTTTGGAAAAGACTGAATATATACATATAAGTGGTTATATGAATTTATTGAAATCGAAAAATTTAGCCACGAATGAAACAAAAACAAGTAAGGCCAAGCGAAAGACATTGTTTGTTTACATGGTTATGCTGGTTTATTAACAGATCTTACCACCAAATTCAACGTACCGACGTTCGCCTTTCTATGCCTGAGAGCTGGCAGTTTAGCTATGGTGGTATATAGTGTTAAAATATTCTAATAAAAGAATTGTTTTTGAGGAGTGACGTTCAAAATGGAAATTATTCAAACTCTACATATCCTTTTCGAGTAAACCGTATCACAATAAGACTGTAGTATTGATAGTATTTCAAATATAAAATCGTTGAAAAAGACAATCAAGTTCTGTTTATGTGGATTCTTGTGAAGTCTAGTAATCGAGTAGAAAGGAAGATTGTCTTTTTTGTTGTCAATAACAATCAATCTGAATTGGTGTAATACTGAAGCAAGATCAGCTATATTTTATCTTTGAAAATATTGCGAAATGTCTTAATAATATTTCTATTGCGAGAAAGCTTAATTCATTCATACAAGAAATGAAAAAAAACGTTTGCAGACAACTATCAAGGCATTACACACATCATCTGCAGACACAGTCACATATTTATTATGTAAATTATAAATTGATATCAGGGTTGAAGATGAGACTCGTGCCTTGCTTTTATTTTACGCTACCAATTCATTTGAAATGGATCTAATCCCACTCCCCAAGGTAGTAACACAGGTATGGGGTAATATTTTTTTCTTTTATCTGATTGGATTAAGTGTTATTTTCGTGTGATCCATTGGCTATAAGTATGCGAATTTGTAAATTTTGTAAATTATACATATATTTCAAACTGCCAGCACTGACAGCAATATTTGCAAATGTTATTACAACAGATAGTTTTCAAACTGACAATTTCTCATTACAGTTACCTATATCAGTGCTTGAATAATTCCTGTCGACTTCTTATAAGAACTGTAAGTTGACTCCGCAGCTCTGGCTCTCGTTTGATGAGATTTTCCTGCACAACAAAACAGAAAACATAAGTAATAACTAAGCAGGCTGCATGGGAAATTATTACAAAAATCTGGCATTATTCGCTTATGAACTTTTTACACGGGGCACTTCCGACTCTGCAAGAGAATTAAGCAATGATGTAAACAGTGTACTATTAACTGGAAATAAATCTATAGGACTTTCAGGCTGTACTTTTTTTCCTAGGTACACCAATTTAAAGAAAATTGTGACGAAATGGCTACAAGATTAAAGCGAAAGTAGGTAGAACCGGGATCATCCATACAGATAATACTACCCCTTGAGAGTTGATTCGACTGAGCTTTGTTCAACATTTTATAATAGTTGTGCAACTCGCAAAATAATGTCAAAGTGGTTTTCGGTAGCGCTTTATTAACTCAATTATATCCAATAGATCATATATGTGCGACTAAACTTGGCTTTGTAACTTTAACAGAAATTTTGAAATTGTTTATCAAACTTTAACAGTGAGATTAATTTAATGTTGCATTCATTTCGCGAGCTAGTGTATAACTGCACGTATACCTCTCGCATGCTCCTCCCTTTCAGTTTTTTCAGTTGCTCGATCTTCTTCAGGGAATCGTGTATACCGAGTATTTGCTTGGCAACATCCGGTTCTGGTTGCAAAGGAACGGGTTTGCTTCGGACATTCTTGGCCTGGCTAAAATATCGAGCTTCCTGATCGTTTAATCTTCTATCATTTTGTGAAACATCAAATGCTTTTGGTCCTAACCATGTGAATCCTAGGTAAAAATAGATGCGTTTTTGCCAAAGATTTCGCTGTCCAATGTGCATTCCGGTAGGTATAACAATCTGAGTTTTGTTGCCTCCGGCGGTCTCGATATGAACAGACACCTCTGTTCCATTGTTTATTAATATCCCTTCCAAACGCTTTAATCTGTTGATGTTCTGTGGCTGCGACCAAACTGTATCTCCTTTGTAGTATCTACCTGTGTGGCTACCGTGGAGTTCTTCGTAATATACGATTTCGTCATATTCCTTACCGTTTCCAAGAAAGAAATATGTCGTTTCCCTCTTCAAACGATATGGATTGCCATCCATTTGGCGTGGATGATTCCTTTGAAAAGCTGTTTTCCATTTTTGCATAGCATCTGGCAGTTTTCCTACAGGATAAAGTTGTAGGTGTTGTCTGTTCTCTGTAGGCCAGTGAAGCATCAGTAGGTATAGAAAAACCTCCAAATAAGGTAGTTCATCTGCACTTGTGTTTTGCATATTGTAGAGTCGTTTGCTCAATTCAACTAACTTCTGATAAGGATATGGATCACGTCTAACCTTTGTAATATGCATCACAATTGCTACACTTATGAAGCTTTTAATGTCAAATGCTGTAACATTTTCTGAGTTCAAAATGCTTTGAAGATGCCTGAAAATTGCTTCCAATTTACATCCACCCTCTGGTTCGCGTCGCAGCTCAAGGATATTTGCTAGTGATCTTCCTCCAAGTTTGCGAATTCTTCTTCTTCTAAAATCTGCCTGATCTTTTTCGCTCAGAGTTTCGGGCACCTCATCTGTATCCTCTCCAAAGTAGCTATCTACGTTTTCCCTCAAACGAGGCAAAGTCCGGTAAGCAAAGCCAGATTTGCTTAAATGTGCATTTTTCATTGCACTATCTTTCAGTTGAGTGGTTTTGTCTTCCAACTTTCTCATTGCAGCATCAGTATAAAACCGAAGAGTACGTAGATTGTCAAAAGACTCCTTATCCAGTTCAGGTGAAGCTACCTTTTGGTATTGGAGCTCTTTGTCTACTAAAATGTTATGAAGCCCTGTGATTGATGACGATACTTTTAGTAAATCCAGTAGAAGTATCACTAAATGAACTTCGTTGTAGTATCCCGCGTCGTTTGTAGACGCATGTTTTTCTTGTTCGCTGACAGATTGCTCTTTGTGAAATATGTCTATACCAGTTTTTGCTAACTGAATAACCTCCCTTGTGTCACTGAATGATAATTTGGTTCCTTGTTGAAGACAACATTCGTACTTTTCCTGCAATCGATTTTTGTACACCAAGCCATAAGTATCCCACAAATATGAATTGTTTTGCTTCATCTGTGAGGCCATCTTGGCGTATTTTGTAGCTTCTTCCCAATTTTTGAAACTCATATAGAACCTTGCTATTTGTTGCGCAATCATCGGGTCCTGTGTCATATCAAATCCTTTCAGAAGAACTTTTGCTGCTTGGTCAGGGTCCTCATTCTTGTAGATTTCAACAATCAATGGCGAAAAACTTTCTCTCTTTCCATCTTCAAGCTGTTCCCTCTTTTTCAGAATATCCTTGACAATTCTTTTAACCTGGTCAACAGATCTGTTCTGATTGTTAAAAACGTCTGAATTAAGAAATTGTAACATTGCAGCACTCGTTTCCATCTGAAGCTTCTTTTGTAGGAATTTGAATATTTCTCTCGCAAACAGCTTGCTGATAATAGAAAGAGCATGAAGGTTTGTTCCCAATCCACCTCTCGATGATCGATTGAGAAGAACTTGCAACGAAGAACTCATGTTGTTCTCCCAGTGGCGGTTTCCAAAACTTTGGCGTCTGGGAGACACGAGGCCAAAAGAAATAGCACCTTCCTTTGTTTGACCATTCATCATCATCGAGTCAAAGGCGCTGATGGGTAACGATTGAAAGTCAATGTCATAACTATTCATCATGGCCAGATACAGCAATAAATCCTTCTCCTTGTTGACTTCAATGCTGTCAACATATTGTTGAACAGTACGGGTGATATACTCATGTTTGAAATTTTCTTTTAGAATATTGAAAGATATCAGTAAACGAGGATTGACTCCATTCTCATTTTGATACTTCTGTTCAAGAGACTCATACTTCATGTTGAACCAGTCGAGCTCACGGGGATCCAGTTCATGCTTCAGGAGAACAACTGATTGGCCAACTTTCGTAGGCAAGTTTGTTCTCCGAGTGCACAGAAGAAGAACACAGAAGCAAGAAAAGGGTGTCGTTTCGCTTCGCCTTGCAGTAAGCCTGGCTCTGTTTTCTAGAGATGCGTAGAGGTTCTGAAAATCCTCTTCATCGCAATTATCTAGCAGCACTATTGGAGGATTAGGAGTGGATGGGTCTTCGTAGTTTCTCAGCAAAGAAATTTGGTCACAAGTTTGGTCACTGATTTGCTTCACAACACAACATCTATATTTTTCTCGTGAATCCCATAGAAGCTGTCTGGCTGAAGTGGTTCCTCCAGCGCCCGGTTGGTGCATCAGGCTGACTACAGCAATCCTGCAATCATCATCATTTTGGTTTCCTTTCAACGCGTCTGCTAGAATTTCCATCAGTCGAGAATGCTGCGACCTTCTTAATACATGATCAGCGCCAAACCAGTAATTCCACCACGTAACTTCGTTTCCCCGAAAAAAAGCCTCTTGTGACTCCCTTCTGTGCTTTTCAAGTTTCTCTGAATCTTGGGTTATCTCGGTGTCATCACATTCTATCCTACTGAGTACATCGAGATCGTACAATTCGTTTCTAACTTTATCACGTAGAAAACAAAATGCACCCTTTGATGTCGCGATTTCACATGATCCCCTGTTATTGGTGGAAACTAACTTTTGTAACATTATGTTGACATGATTCCATGGTAGTCCAATGATGCATCTCTCCTGCATTGTATTCTTGTCAATACTTTTTCGTCTCAGCAATTCGGCCATCCAATTATTAGCAATGTCCTCACTTGGCGCAAGTAGCATCCATTGATCCTGGAATTTCAGTATAACATCTTCTGCAGCTTCAAGAAGTACATCATAGTTCTTTGAAAGCAACAGAAAAATGACCATTGCCCTTCCATTGGGAACTTCTTCTCCATAAAATCTCAGTGCCTCCTTGAGTCCTTCACTTCTGTTTCTTTTCCAATCTAAAACGTCCATGGGTTCCTTTTTCATGGCATCATATCCATTGCAAAAGACCCAGGGTCTTAATGCGGAAGTTCTGAGGTCATCAAACAAGTGATTTCGGCGCTCGTGATCAGTTTTATTTTCTACAGAATTTCTGTCGAAATTTTCTGTTGTCAAAACTTTTACAACTTGTTCCTTTTCAACCTCAACGAAATGATACATTCCGTTAACATCACTTGATGAATTGAAATCAAAGATCACGCATGGTTTAATGTCATCGACAAACTGGAAATTTTCTGTGAAATTGTGAACAGTGTCACATTCTAAAGGACTGAGGAAAATAATTGGGTACATTTCTTCGGATAAAGTTTCGTAACCACCAGAAAACAGGTTCAAGAATTTCTGTCTAAGGTCTTCCTGTATAGGAACTCTCTTCGGAATGTTTTCCCTCTCCTTTCGGCACTGTGCAAGCTGTTTTTTAAATTTCATATACTGGCGTATCTGCTCCTCTGTTTGGACCAACGGGTGAGGATCATCATTTACGAAGCGATAAAAAAACATTTTATCTTCAAACTTCACGTACACCGCCTCTTCTTGAAGTAAGGTGGAGTTGGGAACGATGTCGACCTCAACAACTACCAGTTGCCTTTCACAAGTATCATCGTTAGTAACGCCAATGAACTCAACTGGCCTGATGCACTTTAGACCCAGTTCAATTTGGTCATCATAGAAATGAGAAGTTATCGCTTGATACATTGCTCTCTTGCAGCTGTCCTTATCCACATCAATGCCTACAATCTCCCCTTCGAGCCATTCACTATTGGCTTTTTGTTCAACACCAAAATGAATGGTTCCATTCGTCCTTTCGTTCATACATGCTGCTGCAAAACGAACAGTCTCTTCTGCGATCCATTTCACTTTTTCTTCAGTGCTTTCCCATGTTTTGTTGAGAAACAGATGAACTGGTTCAATCAGGTTATGCGGTCTAGTTATACTGGTTCGTATACTTGCAGACTTTCGATAGTTCTCCAAATTTCCAGCCGGGGATTCAAATTTCCTTAATGTTTCTCTGAAGTATCTTTTACGGTCTGTATATTTTGCTTTCATTTTTCGTGCTTGTGGTCTGTCAACCGATGGCATAGGTTTCCCTTCTTTTTCAAGATTTATTAGCTCATCTCGTATTATCAGGAGGTTTTTCCTATCCCGAAAGGCAAATCCGTGCAATAATTCTTTCGTATCTTCTGAGTTCAAATATTTAAAAATCTTTCCATCGATATGTTCCTGTTTGAATACTTTCAGTATGTTTTCATCTAGTCGGCTCGACTCCGGATCAAACTCTTGAAGGACTTTGCAGATCTCCTCTTCATTCATTTTTTCAATACACAGGCGGCGACTGTGAACGTGGCTGGCGGGTGCTTCAACATCACCTATAAAAACACAACTGTGTGGTTTTAGATCTAATAAAAAACTGTTTGGTAACTCCAGGTTAAAAAATTGCCAGTTCTCATTTTTGATTATATTTACATGTTGTCCCTTAATAGAAAAGTGCTAACATACGTTTCTCTGAGTCCATCTGTATAAGTAAGAGATCAGGTCCCACTTGTATAAAACATCTCAACTTGAGATTTCCTCAAGTCGAGATTTTCCTCGCCTCCTATAAAATTTTCTCAAGGAACACATCGGCTAGGATGTCCTGAAATTCCTTGAGGAATTTTCATACAATAAATTTTCAAGGAGATATTAGCTGAGGAAAATCTCGACTTGAGGAAATCTCAAGTTGAGATGTTTTATACAAGTGGGGCCAGAACGTTGTCGCAATTTTGTTGATCTATTTCTATTTTTGTATATTGCTTTCGTTATTGTTGTCAGCTAAGGTTTCACGTACTAGTTTCAGTTTCGTCAGATTCTAGATCCTTTTGTCGCCATGAAAGATTTTTGTAAACAGCACTTTCCATGTGTTAAAGAAAATATACGTAATAAATAAGAAAGTGATGAAAAATATTTTGAAATTTGAAATCTTAAATACAAATCTTAATCAAATAACAACCTTCTATCTGGAAATTAATTCCGAGTACAATAACTACACATTTCCTCCACGTATTGGTGTCAAATATTGACTTGCTGGTAATCAAATGAAAGTGCTGACACATAACGAAACTTCTTCTGCTAACACAGTATAAAAGCACAAGTCTGTATTCCTTGCTTCTGATGTAAAGATTTTAAAATAATCGTCTACAACAAGCATAATTTCAGATAATGCATCGATCGTTAAGATTTCCAGTGAATGTAAATTAACGAGCAGCAGACTATAAATATTTACATAGGCTATCACAGTCGTAGCAGCAACAACTATTCAATGATCAAAACGGTTCAGAATAGTTTAGAAAATAAACGCAAAAAAACACTTCTCATTTTAGTTTGTCAACGCTCCTTCAGATTTTCCAATCAGTTGCACCGGTAAAACCGAGATGTTTTAAAATGTGTTTTGCAAGATGGAGGCCAAGGTTTAAGCTCAATCGCAGAGGTCGAACTTCCGTCTGAAATATATGTGTCCAGGAAAACCATGATTTGCGCAATCATGCTACAAAATAATCGCCATATTGAAGTTTCGACAATGCTAAGAAAACACTTTTTTATCTTCCCTTTCTTAATATTCAAACAAATCTCAGCTCTATTGGACTGATGGAACTTCAGAAGAAGCTAGATGTGAGTTTTTCAATGATGTAGGCCATATTAGATTTTGAACCGAGTCGAACAACAATAACACTTGGTCAGGACTATCTCAGGATCATTTTAAACAAGTTTCAGCTGAACAGCACCGATGGAATTTAAGAACTTTATGTTGATTATTAACGTCTCTGCTTCAATGCTTTAATTTTGCATCTCTGTATATTATAAAAATGGAGTTCTAATGTTCGCTTTAAAGAGAGGATCAAAAGTGGAAATCGGTCTAAGAAATGAACACGTATAGGAATGCAGTGACCACAAATAATGACGGAAATAAAATCACAGGTGAAAACTGTTTTACCACATTGATATTTAAATGTAGACGCCAGTATAAGCCCACAGACAAATACGAGAAATAACAAGTTGATGTCTGTTTGTAAAACCATTCACATGCCTATATCTGACACCGAAAGATGAAAAATTGTGTATTGATTGATTCGGAATATTAAAATTAGCAATGCATTTGTTTTGATTTTTTTTCAAAATTATAACATTTAAAACTTTGATTGCCTTCAGTAACAGGGGAAATACATTTGCAAATTTACAAAGAATTATTACACGCACATACGCAAACTTCCATTTTGCATTTCAAATTTGATGATAAAGGGAAAGATTTAGCAATCTTGAATACAAAGAAATGCATGATAGTAACCGATTTTGGAAACTGATCAGATTTGATTTCAATATATTTTATGTTTATATTTGTATGAATGGCGAGATCAATATTATCTTGTATATGATTTGTAAATGTTTGATTATCTGATTTGATTGAGTTATTCTCCAGTAAATATGATAAGATCAACATTTTATGTCCGTCATTTGATAAAGAAAAGGATACAATCTCCTGTTTCTGGAGCCACTTCGCCCAAGAGAAACAGCATCAAAGTTAGACAAAACTAACGCTTGGAGGTGATCTTGATTAAGTCTGTATTCTAAATGTGACTCATATAGTTTCTGTCGAACTTCCTCTTCCAGTGTAGATAATGAAACTTTTGCTTTTTCTTCAACGCAGAAAAGTTCATTCAAAACATCACATAAGAAAGAATCTAAGTGATGATCCTCTGAAAGTAAATATTTACATTTTTTATCACATAAACAAACAATAAGTAATATGTGATACCAGTATTTGTTTATCTATCCTTGTGTAAATTTAACAACATTTAATCAATAGGTCTCAAATCAATATATGTCATTTCAATAGGTACTATATGATAGCGACGTTCGGTACAGCTATGTAGCCAGGTGTATACCATCAAAATGAGTATATTCATAGCAAGGTGTATTTATGAAAACTATAGTTATGAGCAAAGTAAAAGTTGACAACAGACAGATACAGAAATCTTAAAAAAAGATGTCCCGACCTTTCGATCCGGGGCAAAAAATCTGGGATAATATTATTTTGTAAAAAAAAACATCCTATTACATAAATATTGTGTACCTATATGCCGCCATTTCGTTGTTGGAGGAATATAATATTACCCTTGGCCTTCACTCCATTATTATTTCGCTTCCTCTCATTATTTTAATATATTTAATGGATTATATTATATATATTTAATATTTGATTACAGTCACTTTTTCATAAAAAAAGATATGACGGAAATTGGAGAGCTTTACTCAACTCCAGGAGAAATTGAAAAAATGACAGATCAAAAACTTAACAAAATTATATGAACAATACTTGGGGTTAAGCTTAATGTCTCTTCACATTAGCTGCTAACTTACTAAGCGAAGTATCCTTGGTCATAACTTTTCTACAATTAAAACAATGGTTCATACTCACCTGCTTTTATTTCTTCTTCTGTTACTGTACAACTTGTAAGTTTATTCCGTATATGGTCATCCACGCTTTCCAATAGTGGCTGGTAGGATTTAGGTTTTCTGTGTACTATTCTTAGTAACCTGTGCACTTGATCTTCCCTGGTAGGTTCCACGAGGATTCTTTCATTGTCGTCGATGCTGAGGACACCTTTCTCGATCAAATAGTCCACAACAGGTTTGATATTAATGTTCTTAATCAAGAATATGTGATTCTTTCGAAGAACAAGTTTGCCCTTGGTTTCCATTGTCAAAGCTGTTTCTAGCTTGGCGTCATGATCGCAGCTGTAATGCAAAAATAAATAACCCTTGAAATCTACACGCTCACCTGACCAATAGATCGGGTAATCACGTTACATATACATATCTCATTCATTATTTCAGTATATTCTCAGGTAGAATAATGACGATACCCGGGTTGTTATGTCAAATTATCAATCATTCAAGTCATTTTTTTTTTATTTTTCCGAAACACCTATCCTATATGACACAGGCAACAGATAAGAGATAGAGCTCCGAAATTATCATGTCAAGTTGGTGATAAATTCTTATCAATAATTAAACTAGTTGTTTCATTTCCATATCAACTTACAGCAAAGTTATGACAAGTTGAAATCATCTGGACAAGTAGTTTAAAAGGAGACAACCATTATGATATAACAGAGGAAGGGACAGTAGTATGATAAGGTAGTGGGTTATGGTGACGAATTAACGATCAAATGAAGAGGAAATGAAGTTGATATTAGGGATGTTATAACTGACAACTAGTGATGACTTCCCCGTCTAAAAAAATAAAGGAAAATCGCCCTTTTGATATATTTGCTTTGTATCACTAGATTATTACCCAGGGTGTCAAAATCGATTATATCAAAGTTTGTAATGGACAATGATGTTACATGTACGTGATAAATGAGAGGGAAAATCACAAAAAATGGTTTTGATTCTCGTTTTTAAACAGTGCTATAAATATTTTTATTGACTAAGCTCCTTGTAGCAGCTGATCTAGCTAAATAACAAAAGCTCATAAACGTTGCCCATTATATCACATCAACCCCTTGACGTCTTATAGACGAGGTTTTCGCATGTACACTCTTTATCGCTTTCTATTTCTCTTCAAATATGACTTATTTGTCATCTTTACCAAAATATAACCATCCGTTCAATGTGAATATTGCCTTCTGCGTATTTGCATCGATATGTAAATTCATGGATTGTATTATCAATCAAAACAAAATGGAGGACACCGATCAACTGTTAAGGTAAACAATTCTGGGATAAGGATTAGCTATGCTTGTGAATTAGAAGAAATGTATTAAAATAGTGTATACTTATTTTACGTTACACACTGTCTAATTAAACTTTCAATTACTCAAACTTTACTTGACTTACCTTCAAAATTCTAAATCCGTCTACATTTTGATCTATTTACGTAGTTCACTCCACCCGCTTCACGGAAATCTCAGGCTTTTAGTTTCGGTTTTAACCAGAGCACATGTTATCTACTGTATTGTCATGTATTTCGCATAACACTGTGCTATCATTTCCGCTTTATGTGTCTGAATGAACACATTTACACACGCTTATAGAAAGCGCTGTATGTGTGCCGGTGAGTTTCATGCGTTGGCCAATGGTGGCTGACGGTATGTGTACATTAAGAAATGCTAGACCAGGGCATTTTGGTATGGAAGCCTTGTATGAAGTATAATTAACCAAGAAAGCTACGTTTACTTTACGAGTGATCAGATGGATTGCATTAAAATTAATTTTGGGGTATCATAATACACATTTTTCTACATTTTTTTACGAGGTGCGCTGTTGCTTCACGCCATTAAGCACATAGTGCGTAGTTATGTTTGTGTCCTTGCCGTTACATTTAAAAACACATTGACGAACACAATTCAATACACCTGTTCGACTATTGAAGAACTGTGTGGTACAAATATACCGACGAATGAATATAATAAAAATTATTTCATTATAATAATTTAATTTATCATATGAAGACCACACACTCTTTACCCCTACTGTTTTCATTTCAAATTCTGCTGTGCTTTTTTGTTTGTGTCTTTGCAGTGACCTGGACATCAGGAACCTATCTGTCAAGACTTGCAGTGACCTGGAGATTAGGAACCTATCTGTCAAGACTTCAACTACACTCCTTGCAGTGGCTCAGTTTTTTGCACTCTGACAACAGATTGCTTATTATTTCCTGAATTTAATATTAATGCCTCACTTACTAGTTAACATCAGCTATTTTTGGAGGAATTTTCTGTACCCAGTTTCCTCCATTCTTATGCTGATTCAGTTGAAGTCATTGGCCTATATTCGCCATCTATATAAAATATAACATCCCTCAAAATAAATATGAACATAATCTGTATCAACTGTCTTGGTTATTTATTTAGTCTTCTATTTGATAATGTATTTTATAAGAAAAAGAAAAACATTTTAATGTGTTTGCTTTACCCTAAGCATCATGAGAAACTTAATCAGTTACCCTCAAAACGGAAAAAAAAAATCCTTTTCTTTGATATCTTCGTATCACCTTATAGGTAATATCTGCAACTGACTCATCCATTCCAGACTCTTGCACTGAAAAGGGTTCAGTTTCTTCGTGTTACATCAGCCATTTTTATTGGATGATTTAGCACTTGCTATTCCTCCAAAACTAATAACGACCATTATTCTTGACTACATAAGGAATGAAGCTTGGTGTAAACCTTTACCAGTCTGGAAGATGTAGCAGTTACTTCCGCAATGAGTACTGATTTTTACCATCCTGTTTGTCCGTTTATGGAGACAGTAGCTTGAGTGTAAGTACAAGTCCCAATCGAATTTTTCGATATGATAAGAAATGATATGAATCAATCACACAATTCAATTCTGTGATTATCATTCGGACAAGAGTTTTATAGTTTCTATATAAAATACATGTGTATAAGTATCTACACATTTAAAAAACTATTTCTTAGTATAATTTCATAGCCTCCTATAATATCAAGGTATGACATTTTTCTGAATAATTCTTTATTCCATGTGTTTCCCGTCTTTGTGAAATCTTTTTCGTTTCATAAATATTGAATTTTCAAATGTACCCGCAATATTTCCTTGATAGACTTATGACGAGTTCTGGAAGGACTAAACCGATGCATGACGCAGTTTGGCTTTTTATTTTCCCTACCCTTTACTCATATAGAAAACTGTCATTTGGGTAAGCCTGATACAATGTTGTTTCAATCACAATCAATAGATCGATTTATTCTGTTTAACTAGGGAAACAATTCTCCTTTCATAAAGGGTTGAATTATAGCTAATCATCAACCAACATACATAATGTGTATAAACATCATATACCAGGAGATCAGTTACATGAAATGAGGATTTAATTCGTTTTCTTGCTATATGCATATTTTCAGTTATGAAACTATTTACATCGGACAAGTTTTTGATGATGTTTAATTTTTCAAAAGCTGACTTAACTAATCTTCTTACATCTGGTAATTGGGAGAAAGGCGGAGTCCAATAGGAATAGGTCATAACTGGACTGTAGAAAGGTCAGATCTAGATTCTAGAAGTTCAAGTCCAGAAAATGGAAAGACCAGATTTATACTCTAGGGAGGTCAAACCAGACACTAGAAAGGTCAGATCTAGATTCTAGAAGTTCAAGTCCAGAAAATGGAAAGACCAGATTTATACTCTTGGGAGGTCAAATCAGACACTAGAAAGGTCAGATCTAGATTCTAGAAGTTCAAGTCCAGAAAATGGAAAGACCAGATTTATACTCTAGGGAGGTCAAACCAGACACTAGAAAGGTCAGATCTAGATTCTAGAGATTAAAGTCCAGAAAATGGAAAGACCAGATTTATACTCTAGGGAGGTCAAACCAGACACTAGAAAGGTCAGATATAGATTCTAGAAGTTCAAATCCAGAAAATGGAAAGACCAGATTTATACTCTAGGGAGGTCAAACCAGATACTAGAAATGTCAGATCTAGATTCTAGAAGTTCAAGTCCAGAAAATGGAAAGACCAGATTTATACTCTGGGGAGGTCAAACCAGACACTAGAAAGGTCAGATCTAGATTCTAGAGATTCAAGTCCAGAAAATGGAAAGACCAGATTTATACTCTAGGGAGGTCAAACCAGACACTAGAAAGGTCAGATCTAGATTATAGAAGTTCAAGTCCAGAAAATGGAAAGACCAAATTTATACTCTAGGGAGGTCAAACCAGTCACTAGAATGTTCAGATCTAGATTCTAGAAGTTCAAGTCCAGAAAATGGAAAGACCAGATTTATACTCTAGGGAGGTCAAACCAGACACTAGAAAGGTCAGATCTAGATTCTAGAAGTTCAAGTCCAGAAAATGGAAAGACCAGATTTATACTCTAGGGAGGTCAAACCAGACACTAGAATGTTCAGATCTAGATTCTAGAAGTTCAAGTCCAGAAAATGGAAAGACCAGATTTATACTCTAGGGAGGTCAAACCAGACACTAGAATGTTCAGATCTAGATTCTAGAAGTTCAAGTCCAGAAAATGGAAAGACCAGATTTATACTCTAGGGAGGTCAAACCAGTCACTAGAAAGTTCAGATCCAGAACAATTGGATTGGAAGGATTTCAGCGTCCTTTCAGCGTCATTTGTCGTAACTACATTATTGGAAATTAATGTTTATCTACAACCTGACCAGTCAAATATCCAATATCGTTTTTTTCGGATGTGTTTTTGTAGCAGTAAAGGGTAAACAGTTTTTTATATGATTTGATATGATAGTTTAACATAACTGTTCCCAAACTGTAGAAAAGCATTGTATCGGGTATCTAATTCAGAAAATCATTGATTAAGAGAAAAGCATTAAAATCATCTGATCTCTCCATAGCCTTGTTTATGTTTTTAAAAATTTCAATATGAATTTTACACGAAAAAATAGAAAATGATACCATTCCTTTCGCCAAAACACGAGAATCTTATTTTATAAACACCAGATATCATTTTTTCACGCTTCCATGATTTGCTTAAATCTGCAAGTAGATACTATTAACACATTCTGAAAAGTCCAATTTTTAAACTATAGAGACAAACCATCCTTCATCAGTCAAAATTTGTTTGTAAAGTTTCGTGTATTGTTCAAGTCAGGACCGACTGTAGTATATGCAGTATAGAAAGATGATAAAACCTGAAACATTATTCTAAATATTACCTATTAAAGGGAGACTGCTTGACGATTCTAAACAGATTCGGATTTCACTGAATTGGTGTTGTTTGTCAAGTTGTTATCTAAATGATCAGATAAATACAAATTACATATGATTTTAAGTCTGCCTTTTCAAAAACTTTACATCTGACTTTTTTAGACTTAGATGCCCAGTTTCATTGATCCTTGTAATCAGGAAACCTCCGTGTTCCAACGCCACACTATAGAAATGGAATAAAAACTGTGAAGAAACTGCTGCCTGAATAACAAATATTGTATCAAAGCCACACATGTGAATAGAATATTCCCATAACAATTTTAAAATAGATACAAGAGATACAAATCATTAATATGATTAACAGCATCGTATAGTTCTATTGTCTTTCTAGGACTCGTCTGTGATGTCAAGGAACTAAAAACTAAACAAACAAAACACTTCGTGTAATCATATCTCAAATGGAGATAAAAAAAAAGAACAACATGATTATCTTCATATTTGTAAAATTTAATACTGAATTATGAACAGGCAATAAATTAAATATACAATATCACCAAACAATTACTGGAAAAAGCTAGAAAATAAAAACAGTAACAACATCAAATAGTACTTAAATGTTGATAGAAACATCTATTTAATTGTCATTTAAATATGATATTATTATTTTAATATGAAACTTAAACATTTTTGCTTTTGAAACGGTGGATTCAGTTCATTTGATTATCTTTTTTTTTAATTCTGACGAGTATGAAAATGGGTATTTCCATATCGTAGAGATATGATTTTATTTTGACCAATCAGAACAACGTTTTATATTCAATGCATTCAAAGTGACAGAAACCGTGTAATAATCATTTCCTTTACCACGTCTTTTCTTTGCAACAAACACTGAAGATATCTATTATTTAATAGATATATATTTTATATAAGTGCGTCGATGAAATTATAATGAAAATCTTGCCATTTAATAACGATAAGCTACTAACCGTTTGAATTGCACACATTGTTTACATTGTCGAAGATTACATATATGTATATAAATACATGTATATTACATTCAATGAATTCCTCGTCAATTACCAAATATTTGAAAATATACCTGGCTACTGCTATAAATATAATCATGATAATTTAGAACAAAATTAAGAGGCAAGCGAGGTTTTGTTTTGGCAATCTAACAAACCGCTGTAATTTGTATAATAAAAGCATCATATTGTTTCATTGATTATTAAGTTCATTCAAATAAATCGCCATTATGAGAATACCAGTACGGAGGCATGCATTGTCAACCTACTTCGCATTCACCACATCAACACCTTCTTAAAATTAGGTTTTGATATTGCAATATGAGATCCAAAAGGTCACTATTATATGTACATAACGCGTTGAATAACCTTCTCTGTCGGAATATGGCAATAATTTACCTATATTTTACAAATAATCATGTAATACACGATACTCGTCACCCTTTTCACCATCACAATACTTTAATGGCGATATTTACTCAACATGAAGCAGTTAAGGAGAGGTTCCCAATTCGGGCTATGCTGCTACACTAACATGGAGTTATAGAAATATGAAATGTCAATGTTTTGGCTCTTACAAAATTTGGGAGGGGGAGGTCAAAAGGTTAAAAATCGGGAAAAGGGGGAAATGAATTTTTTCATCTCAAAAGTTCCTCAAACTCAATGTTTAAGTTAAAAGATAAAATTCATGTTGAAAAGAGATGCTTTAAACTGGCGAAGTATATTAATGTCGCACAATTTTGTCCTTTTTCACACGCACGCACGCACACACACACACACACACACACACACACACACACACACACACACACACAATTAAAAAAATAATAAACGATACAATAACTTTACAACAAAAATAGGCATAACAAGGGAATCATAATCTTGTCCTGCCAAATTATTTCCTGTCCTTCATTTCCTCGTGTGTTTTTAATCAGCGGACCACTTTCCCCATTTTTATTCTAATATGGAAGATGTTATTCCTGGTGACTAAACCCCTTTGGGGAGAGGATAGAGGGGCCCATGTGTGCACATTGTGTCGTCATCTTGTCGAGAACATATTCTGATTAATACCTAACTGGGGTTTATTCTGTCGTATTTGCTGAAAATTTGGCATATTACTGATTGACTACAGAATACACTACAGGATTGAAAATTGTCTGAATTGTGAATTTTCAGATACATGAATTTATCCAATACTCTGTGAAATGGTCCACAAATTATAAGATTTAGCCGTGTGAAAAATATGTGCTACAACAACAATTATTAAGTACAAAACCTTTGCATCCTTGCAAACATACTTGTCAGCAAAGGGCCATGAAATTTTATTTTCGTTGATTTCAAGGGTACTCAACCAGAAACACAAAGAAAATACCATCATGTCAACATAATCGTGATCTAAAGTCAATAAAATATTCACAAAAGAAATATTTACACGGAGACAAGTACAAGGAGAATAAGCACAGGTGTTCACGAAGAATAAGCGACTTCTGCTTCATAGACGACACCCGCAATGTAAACCTTGGTGAATCGAAGTGGGTAAATGAACTCGCTATATTTTCACAAAATGACAAACATTAAAAAAATTTTTCCTAGTATTGTGTAATGAGTACTCATGAAATTCATTACACGATACTACGGTATACGAGTCCCACGAAAAATATCATCTTACAGTATCAAAGGTTATAAGCTACAGAAATTTTCGAATAACTGGGTCGCTTTGAGACTAATACCCCATTTTCTTCTGATACCGTCCTTACGACAGCCGGTGAATTTTGAAGGAAATACAACGTCAGAATCGTGCCACCCTACATTATAGTATCTCTGTAAATCTACAGTAACATATTAATATTTTATGTCATCTTTTTCATTCATCTTAATGAGGTACATATTCATTAATTTCAAGGGAAAATCTGAAGCTCAAACTGAATACTGTAGCTGATGTTTGCACTTTCACCACATGACGAACAGAGGTAATGAAATATTTATTTACAACTCGGTTAAATTAATTGTGGAAGTAACTTTCTATATGTAACAATAGTAATTTAGTGACTATACAAGTATGTAACTTTGTGACTCTATGCATAAACTTACAAATTTATTCTTTAGAAATTATTGGGGGAAAATGTTTATTCTTACGTAATGTACGTTATCAAATCATTCTAATTACAAATACTACTTCTACACAACCAAGAGACGAATGTAGAACATCTCAATGTGAAAGCAGGTCTTTTTTCATCAGACTTTGTTTCAATTTGGAAAACCAAGAGTTAATCGTTTCCTGCCAGGTCAATCTGTGTTCTTTGTTTTCAAGGCGATACTGTTTTGTCCACACGGTAACTTTGCATATAGTGAACAGTCAATCCTGTAATGAATATATATTTTACACGTGTAAATGAGACTGTCACTACTTTGTACGTTTTATTGCTCAAGTATACATATGTAAAACAACTTGTCAAAACTCACGTGTAATATCTTGGTAACTTTTCACTTTCATTAGAAGAAAGCATCATCGCTGCTGAAAGTCATGTTAATTAATTTTCCTAATTTTCACTAACTTTAACACCGCCTTCCCCTCCCAACCTCCAAAAATACACTTCATAATATCTAGTCAAATAATTTTGATATCTCACCTCCTGATGAGTTTTAGTTTGAAATCAGTGTCTTGTGGTTTAGTGTATTGATATTTATATCGAAATAAAAGGAGTTTCCTTTTATAGTATTACTATATGGTTTCTGTGAAAACACTTCAGTCATTGAACTACAAAACGAACTATATACTTTGAATGTTTTTAATGATATAGTTGTGATTGATTAAATACGGTCAAAGTTTTTATTGTTTATTTAACTAAAATAAAATCATGAGGATAACTAAAATAAGTCCATTCTGCTAAATCGAATAAATGAACTTTCAAAAAACTTTTTTAAAAAAAGTTTTCATTAAAAATACTTAAAGTTTTCATTAAAAATACTTACATAATGCTGTCATCTTTTCAATTTCCAAACACATCCTGCATCCGTTGAAGCAGAAAATCGAATTCTGCTTTCAGTTCCTCTTCCCTACGGATTTGTATATCCTGCAATTAGAGTTTTTTGCTGTGACTTAGCGTCCTTTAACGGTAGAGAAAAGAATTAGATAGCCAATAGCATTTCAAAATCATATATGTATATATAATAACAAATAACAAATTAATTTGCCATTAAAAAGAAGTTAATTGTGAATACGTATTTCTAGATAACTGATCAAATGAACAAGAAACAGATTGAGCAATCGCCGTATCGTGATAAGTGTCTGTCTAAATAACGTGCATCAACAATCACATTATGATTATAGCATTATAAAAAGCAATTCTCTTCTTCAGAAAGTAATTTCTAATCAACGTAAATGTTAAAATGCACTGTAGAATATTTGAGAAAATTACACTTTGATGAAAGTTCGTTTAAAAATTACTGCCGAAAATCGTTCAGCTAAAATATCACTTGAAAACCACTTTCATATAAAAAAAGCTGTCAACAAAATATGCTTACTTGTGCTCGATTTGTCTTCTTCTTTGACTTGAGTTTCTCAATATGTTTCAACTGATTGCGGATTTCATCTATTCGTGTCGCTGGATCGAGAACGTAATTTGGCTTTTCCCGAATTCGGGTAGGGCGGTCGGTCTTGCCAGCAGTGTCCAATTGCCCAAGAAGATTCTGCCGATCATCTGATGATACGTCAAAGGCTTTAGGACCAGCCCATGTGAATCCAAGGTAGAAAAACACCTTCTTCTGCCACAGTGACCTCCGTCCGATGGGCATAGACGTTGGTACAATCAATGTTTCAATGTTTCCGGATTTGGTTTCAAAACTTATCAGAACTTCTAATCCATCACCAACCAGTGTTCCTTCCAATCGCTGTAGCTTATTTACTACATTGCGTCCTTCCCAAATTTGATCTCGATTGAAATAAACAGCGTTGTGGCGACTATGTAGTTCTTCGTAGTATACAATTTCATCGCTGGCTAGATCTTTGCCAAGGAAAAATAGAGTCGCTTCTTTTTGTCTATGCGGATTTCTGTCGTCTCTCTGATGTGGATGCTTCTTCAGAAAAGCACATTTCCATCTCACCATAGCATCGCGAAGAGTTCCAACGGGGCAAAGAGATTTCTCTTTCCTATTTTCAGTTGGCCAGTGAAACATCATTAGAAAAAGGAAAACCTCCATGTAGACATGGCCTCTCTTTGAACTGCATTCCTCGTCATACAGTCGCTTTGTAAGTTCCAATATTAGAGGTAATTTCGATGTGACACTTTCTTTCTGGAATATGATTCTTCTAACGATAGCAACACTTATCAAAATGATAACGTCGAATGGCTCTTGGCATGAAAATACATTCTTCATCAAGTGATCAAACATGATATCCAAAACGCGAACATCGTCACCAATCTTTCGCCTTATTCTCAAAAGTGTTGTCAGTGATCGTCCACCAAGTCTTCGCACTCGCCTTCTTCTAAAATCAGCGCTTTCCGTTGGAGAAAGATTTGCTGGCACTTCATCACTCATTTCACCGAAAATGTTATCAACACTTTCCTGTAAAGACGCCAACTCCTCTAAATAGGCGTGTTTATCCCTGACAATATTGATTGAACTAGTTCCTTTCAGCTGAGCGGACTTTTCTTCCATTTTTCTCATCGCTGTTTCTGTGTAGCCATGCAAACGCTTCAGAACTTCCCGGCTTTCATGGCTTATCTTGGCAAACTCTGGAGGTTGAAACTGTCCGTCAACTATGTAAGTATGCAGCATCCTGTCATCGAACGGGGAACATTGCAATATTTTGACCAACAAGATAATGAGTCTTACCTCGCCAAAATAACCTGCATCATTTTGAGAAGCATGCTTGTCATGTTCGCTCTCTATCTGCTCTCTGTGGAACTTCTCAATGCCTTTCATTGCAACCTGAATAATGTCACAAGTATCATCCTCTGTCATTACTTCGTCAGTAATCATGCACGTTTTGTATTTTTCTAAGAGTTGATTTTTGAAAATCTGACCATATGTGTCCCAAAAATATGAATTGTTAGGTCTGATCTGTGTCGCTTTAATTGCAAATTCAGTTGCTTTTTCCCAGTTTTTACAGTGGATGTATAGTCTTGCAATGTGTTGAATGATCCTAGGGTCATCTGTTACGTCAAAACCTTTCTTCAAAATTTGCACAGCCTTTTCTGAATCTTCTCTCTGAAGCACTTCTGTTAAAAGCCGCGAAAATTTCTCCTTTTTCCCGCTTTCTAAAACCTCTCGTTTCATCAAAAGATCGTTCACGATACGGATTACTTGATCCACCGACCTGTTTTGACGAATGAAAACTCGTGATTGCAAAAACTGTAACAGTATTGAGCTGATACTTCTATGCATGCTTTCTTGAAGGTACTTGAAAATCTCGCTGGCGAATAGTGGGCTTACTATAGACAAAGCTTTCAGGTTGTTGCCTTGGCCACTTCTTGCAGAAATGTTCAGTAGAACCATCAATTCATTGCTGATTTGTGTCTGCCATTGTCTCTCACTTTTCTGAAAACGATGTTGTAGTGCTAGTCCATAGTTAAGGACCGTGTTTTCCCCTCGTTTTACTTCCATGAGAACGTCAAATGCACTTATTGGGAGTGGCTGAAAATCTATATCAAAGGTGTTTACCAGTGACAAATACAACAGTAATTCCTCCTCTTCTTGTGTATCAATACCATCAACAAACTGCTTGACAGTGCTTTGAATGTAGGTAAAGTTAAAATTCTCTTTTAGAATATTGAAAGATATAAGCAATTTTGGGTCTATACCTTCATCTTTCTCAAATCGGGTTCTCAATACACCAGCCTTCTTGTTAAACCACTCAAGCTCTTGCTCGTCTAATTCCTGCCGAATTAGAACCGTTTGATCTTTGATGTAGTTCCGAGGGAGGCTTGTTCTACGTGAACAAACCAAGAGGACACAAAATGTTTCAATAGGTTCTTCAGATCGTATCGATGCTTCTCTTGCCCGCCTTTGCAAATATGATTGAAAATTCACCAAAATTTCTTCGTCACAATTGTCGAGTAGGACGAGTGGGGGACGGGCAGAATCAGATTCTTCGTAATTTCGTAGCTCTACTATTTGATCGCATGTTTGATCTGTGACCCTTCTTGTGATACAACATCGATATTCTTTTCGTAAATCCCACAAAATCTGACGCGCTGTTGTTGTACCGCCAGATCCAGGTTGATGTATAAGGGTTACCACAGGAACTTTGTCTTCGTCACTCTTTTTGCCACTTAATGCACGCTTGACGCATTCCATCAATCTATCATGTTGAGTTCTCCTACAAACGTGATCCTCTTTATACCAGTAGTTCCACCAACTTGGCTCACCACCATGGTAAAATGTCTCCTGTACTTCTCTGTAGTGCTGCTCCTTCAGAATTTTGTCCTTCAGTATTTCACTGTTGTCACATTCCTGTTGACTTAGAATATCCAGATCACAAAGTTCATTTCTTACTCTATTTTTCAATGAGCAGAATCCCCCATTTGTAAGTGGAATTTGACAGACAGAGTCTTGGAGTGGTCCTACAACTTGACGAATCATCTCATTTGTCTGTTTCCACGGCATCCCTATGATACATCTCTCACTGATGATACTTTTGTCAACGCTATTTCTGCGAATTAGTTCGAATATCCAGTTATGCGCAATGGCCTCCGATGGTGCAAGCAGAACCCATTGTCCATGGAATTTGGACAAGACATCCTCAGCAGCCTCTAACATGACGTCATAGTTTTTCGAAAGCAATAAAAATATTGCTATTGCTCGTCCTGACGGAATGTCATTGTAGCAATATCGCAATGCTTCCTTGAAGCCCTGACTTCTTTCCTGTTTCCAATTGAAAGGATTCATGTCATCTCGTTGCATTCTGTCATAACCGTTTGAAAATACCCATGTTTGCATATAAGAATTCCGAAGATCATCCATCAAGCGACCATGTCTTTCAACATCCTTTTTATTTTCCTCACTTTCTTTGTCGAAATTGTCTGTAGTCACTATCTTTAATGATTGTTCTCTAATTTCCTGTATAAAGTGATGTAATGATCCTGGTTTGGTTGAGGAATTGAAATCAAACACTGCATAAGGCTGTAAAAGTTGAACAAATTCGAAGTAGTTATCTGTTATTTCCTTCCTCGAATTTTCATCAGTTTCACATGTGAAGATAACAGGGTATGTTTCCGAGGTTAGTTTATCTTCTCCACAAGAGAAGACATTTAGAAACTTTTGCCGCAGATTCTGTTGAACCTTTGGAAGTTTGGGTTTATCTTCCTGATTTTTGCGATGGTCAAAGAGTCTTTTCTTGATATTCATGAATTTACGTATCTGATCTTCGTTTTGTTTCTTAGGTATGACACTGCCCTCCTCGAAGCGATATAGAGTAGGTCTGGTCTTGCCTTTCACGTTTGCTCTTATGAAAATGGCTTCGTCTTCTAAGAAAGTAGCATGAGGAACAACATCAATTTCGACTATGCAGCATGCGAGGTTTTTGCCAGATTCAGCAACATGGATGAACTTAGGAGGTCGAATGCATTTCCATGCCATTTCAATCTGATCTTCAAACATTGTCTCTCGTAAAATTCTCTTTATAGTGTCATTGCATCTATATTTGTCAATTGAGATGCCAATAATTTCTCCTTTCATTTGATTTCCGTCACTTATATCCTTGACCCCAAAGTGAACAGTGCCATTAGTTCTGTCATTCATACATGCTGAAGCAAATGTTATAGTCTCATTAGCAAGCCATTCTGCAATGTCTTGGTTACTATCGTCAGGGTATATCATAAATCTATGAACAGGTTCGATTAAGCTATCAACTCTAATGACATCGGAGGAACAAATTGCCCCTTTCCTGTATGAGCCTAACACACCAGCAGAGGTATCAAACTTTCGGAATGATTCACGGATTTTTGGAATTGTTTCATCCTTTATATCTGCACTCGGGGCGCTGATCTGACATACTTGCTCCTCAGCTATAAGTTTTTCTTTTAAAATCATAATGGATTTCTTTTGCCCATACGATAAATCCGTGATAGCATTTAAATCTTCCATTTCAAAATGTTTGAAGACTAACCCCTTTATTTCGTTTTTCTCAAACATTTCCAATGCATCGAGGCTAATACCATTTTTCAAAAACATCGGCTTCAAAAACTGACAAAGTTCACCCACACTAAGGAGATCAATATTCGTTCCTTTTGAATACTCCCTCTTTTCTTCAGTTCCTGTTTTAGAGAAAAATCTTCATTTAAACTTACACATCACACTGTAAAAGTTGTTTCTTTCGATAGTTTATAAGATCGCATTTCTGATAAAAATTGGACTTTTTTTTTTTACATTTTTTTTTTCATTGTATCAATTTTTGCGAATTTATTTGATCATCGGAAACATCGAAAAATACAGAACCTCGAAAATAATAAGCTTTAAAGGGCTTTTGAATCAACGAATTTGCCAAAAGTTCGCATGCAGTGTTAAACAATTCCTTTTTATTTTGTAATTTCATTATAACTATTGCAGTCTTGAGCGACACTGTAAAGATCAAATAGAAATTTTAAATTTCATCTGTGAAAAATACGACGTGTAAAATCAGTTCTCGATATAAAGCGCTACTGAAATAACTGAATCAGCCGTATCCAGATATTCAAGGATATTTTTCACCATTACAAATGTTTGTAACGAATCAAATGATGTGTGAAACGAGACTATTCATTTATTTTACAAGGCACAGATTATTTGAGTTTATATGCTGTAAGAATCAACCGTTGTAAAATATCCTTCAATCTGAATGTTTGACTGCTAAAACAGCAGTATGTAGTTGAAATAAGTTATTGGGAACAATAACTGTAGAATAAGATATCCTCCTTTATGTACAACGCGAATTTTCAATTCGTTATCAGTAAATTCTCTCTTTTTATATTAAAAAGCGTGGAAATTTTTGCTAGCGAAAACAAATAACTACAGCGTATTTTATATCAAACGATATGTGCAAATATATGAATATGCAAATAAAATGATTTGTATAGTCATATGAATAAGCTAATTAAGCGATGATTAATATGACCATGTGATTATGTACTGTTGATGTAAAGTCAAAGCTATAATATTTGCTCAGTATAATTCATATCAGCTTAACTAGAAGAGAAAGTAATCGTTTTTTCCAATAAATTTCCATCTGCTAGTTTTTTTAATATAAAGCAACACAAAGGAAACTTACTATCGGCCCCTTCAGTCAAACTATATGCCCCTCCACTGTCATCAGAATCTTCTTCAGAGTCTTCGTCCGATCTTGCTAAGTTCTTGAACACATGTCTACGCTTGTCAAGGACAACAATATCTAAATCTACCGGCCATGTTAATTGTGTTTCTCCTAAACTTTATTTCAAACCATTCATTCTTGTATATTACAAGTCAAAGTTGGATTCTGGTTAACCAGGAGGTGTTGTTCTACATCTCATCCCGATTGTCAGTATTACCATGAAATTGGGTTAAGGACATTCATTTGAACAAACAACAATGTAAAAACTCTTTACCACAATATGTGACTAACCAAATATAGGGTTTGTTCTCGTCTTTCATTCCTGCACACAGAACTGTTATCATGAGGATCACTAAAACTCCCGAACCCGTAGATGCAGAAATCATCCATCAATTGTTCTATTTTTAGTGCCAACGACTTAAATGTTTTATATATGACAATGAATTTTCCTAAACATGTACCATCCCCTTATCCTGCCCCGTCTCCTTACTATACAAGTACAGGTGTATAGTGACCTGTTAGCAATACAACCAAATTTTCTATATATGGCCAATAATAATTTTGTACAATTTTACTAAAATTGGTTCCAAAACTTTAGAGGAAGTCTTGATATGATCCCTCTAATCATAGGTCCAATCTGGTTACCATGACAACCAAATGACATCAGATATTTTGGAAAATAGTACCAATGTAACAACCATTCTTCCAAACCCCTATACATCAATTTTCTGCATAATCGGATAATATCTAAATTTTCATCAATCGAAGAAACGTCCATTATCTATCAGTATTAGTGATTCTGAAAACAATGGATAGTCAAATTGTAGGCTCTATTAAGTTACACCATTTGTCCAACTGTCATTAAAACCGATCTGAGAACTGATCAGCTAAGGATCATTACACAAAAAGCTTTCCATAGTGACCTGCTTAACTTAATTGCGGGAAAAGTGCATTTGATATCAGGTCAACTTGATAATCCTTCATCCCAGCATATTACTGACTGGACATATACTCAATGTATCTTGGCAATTCAAGAAAGTTATTTTCAAAATTCAACACATGTTAAAATCATGTCAATGTTATTTTTGGAACAACTTTTTGGCTGAATATCATTATCCTTTTCCTTGTTGTTGAGAAATGATTAAAACTTTTAGATGGATAAGCTGGCAAAAACTACAAAAAGAAGAATGACAGTCTTTTGCATTGGAGCTAAGATTGTGCTTCCAACTATTAAATGACATCTTTATCCAAAAGTTTCTAAAATCATACTTCAACTGTTCTTTTATCCTACATGTATACAGATTTAATTGATAATTGAATAGTTTTCATATTCAGTTGTCTTTCTGACGTATAGCTGCAAATGGTAATAATCTAATCGAAACGGAGATTTTGGAAATGACAACAAGAGTGCCGTGGACACAATATACGCCGCCACAAAATATAAAGATCAAGATTGGTCCTTTTAATTATCGCTTTTAACATGTCTGTATCATAAATCTTACAAAAATCCATAAAATCGACCCTTCATGCACATTGAACCATTGTATTAGTGACATTGAGCAAGTTTTATAAAAATCTTATCATTAGTTTAGAAGGAGTTGCGTTCACAAAGCTCCACTATGAGCAAGCTACAGATACAAAGTTGAAAATGGCATAAATCTTACAAATATCAACGAACCAAAAAATCGCCCCTTCATGCACATCTACCCATTGTAGTAGTGACACTGAGCAAGTTTCATGAAAATCTTATGATTAGTTTAGAAGGAGTTGCGTTCACAAGAAATGGACGTACGGACATACGGAGAAGATGACGCCAATATACGACCGGCTCCGGCGGCGTATAAAAATGGTGAGAAATTTTTATGCAATTTATCTATTTCTTGTATACGTTCAAGATTGATTTTTGGCTGATGTTTTGTAACATTTCGTTCAAAGCTTTGAATGAGATATTTTCGGAAATGACAGCCCTCAACTGAAATTAATTGATATCCAACACATACAGGTAACAAATTATTTCATATATCTAGTACTAAGAATTATTAAGATAAGCAACAACCTGCAGACTTTTCATTGTTTCATTGTAGAGATAGTCCTATTCATATATCAAAAAGGATACATTTTTCTTTTCTCTCTCTTGGCTTCTTTATAAATGACATTTGGAAACGCCTTTTTGACAATCGTTTTGATTGGAATATTCTCCACTTTGAATGTTTTTCCATGGGAGATAATCTGTTTTCTCAACGTAGATTCTAACTCGCTAAACTTTACCTCGGACCCATCTGAAGCTTTGAAAAGGAGCAAAAGTTTCTCTTTTGCGAATTCTGCAGCTGACTCTTGATCTGAAATAGTTCAGAAATAGATCAATTAAGAATCAGAAGAGATGACAGATAAAATGGATAAAGAATAGAGAATCATGGTACAAAAGAACAAAAATACACAGTAAACGTCCGGTTAATCGGCTGATTAAACCTACAACATAATAAATGCTAATGATGGAAACGTAAAAGTGATTATATGTCTTTGAAAATTTCAGACCGCTGGAAAAGTATAAAAATAACTTACCATCTTTACCGCTTGAAGTTGCACCTGCACAACCTGTATCAACATCTGAGGACTTCCGGGTCAAATTCCTAAATACCCATCTTAAAGGTTAAGGGGAACATTTTTGAAATTGGAAATGAATGAGTGTGATGTATTTTCGCACATGAAATTTCAACCAATGTACCATATATAGATTATTGACATTCTTTAAATTCCTGACATACTTCTATGGCTTCAGTCTCAAATGTAAAGATTACACTAATCTAAAACATGATTAACATTATTTTATCTCTTTCACTACTGTATTTAGTAAACTTTTCTTTATCTACGAAAGGTTTATTATTTAGATACTTAAAGAAAAGTACTTCATTAAGTTGAATATATCTGTAATATTTGCAGGTTCTGTTTCCAAAACAGTTCACAACGTTAGAAGAATATTTGCATGCTGTTGTCAATTACCATTCAAAAATGAACTTGTTCAAATATGTAAAATATCTTCATTAAAATCGAAGGAACAATATCACAAAAATGGATACACAGTCTCCTGTCTCTCGTTTCGCGTCGGTTTGTATTGGACCGTTGGAAAAGTCTTCCGAACGATGCGTTCAAGTAAGTCTTTCTGTGGTCTGAATTCTTTGCCATGTAAACAAATTTCCTGGCGTATATCATCTTCTAGTGTTGAAAACCTTACATTTTCATCTTTACACTCTCGAAAAAGAAGCAAAAGGTGTTCTTTCACAAAATCCTCATCTGTTTGTTGTTCTGTGATTAAGAATGTGACAGAAATGAATAAACAAAAAGGCAAAAACAGAAAGAAGTACAATATCGTTTTTTTGGTTTTTGTTTGTTTTTTGTTGTTGGGATTTTTCTTCTTTTAAATAGAAAATTAATAGTTTATGAATTAGATTAGTATTATTTTTAATGTATTATACAGCTGCTGGTAGCAGTGATGTGCGATAAATGAACATGGACTTTTTGTCTTGTATGGGTGTTTAATTTTCATTTCAAAATTGTCTAAATATGTGAATAGCTTATGCACTCTGTTTATTTGACCATTTACTGGAGAGAAT